ATTTTGTTGGTACCCGGCTATGAATTTGCGCGTGATGTGGCTGTTGATCTCTTGAAAGTAAAATCTAAATCGTGAATCATGATGTGCGCTCGCGTGTTAAATTTGCAAAAAGGCTTACAACCCTGGCTTCAGGGCTTAAGGGTTTAAATTAACTTTTTATAATGAAAAAGATCCAGGATTGTTTAAACAGTCTTTTTTCAAGGCTCTTATTTTTTTTTATGAACTACTGCAGACTTGTAAGTTGTAGCCAATTATTCTTTGTATAATAGTCTTGATTCAAGCGTTCGGTAGCTGGCGCGCCTGCATCCATGCTTGAACATTCAGCAGTAATCATATGTTTAGAAAAATGCATACAGAATGTAGTTATAAGTCCACATCTCATCAATTCATAAACCAATGAATCTGTTGTCTTCAAAGTCATAAATAAACAGGAGGGGGATTACTCGGCATGCAAAAGGCCAAGGGCGTATATATAAAGCCAAAATGTCCGTGCTTTGGCGCCAAACATGTAGCACATGGCCAGTCATGCATCCCACATTCGGATCTGTTGGTTGCGCATGAGAGCAGCTCTCCAAAGGCCGAGAAACAATTTACAACCACCAATTAAATCACAAATGCTAGAACGCACTTCTCAATTGTTGAGCCTGGGCAGTGTATACATGCAGGCGGATTTGGCCTTCAAGTTTTGAAACCACAGTGGGTTCACTCTCAATGTTTGCCATGATCTGTAGCTGAAATTGAGGGGAGGGAAAACAGCGGAATCTGAAACATCACTAATAAGACCTCTATGAAAATGGCTGTGCTGCTCATTATTGACTGGGTAAATAAGCAGAGAGGGTGTGTTTCATTGGGGAAAGCCAGCGCTCCAAATTACACCGTGGATGGATATAGAACAGGCCGAAGACTGGCAGGGTTGACACACTTTTGTTTCAACCAAAACAACCCAGTTGGAAATGAACCTGTATTTATTTGCACAGAGAATTGTCCGGGGCGGTAAAAAGACACTGCAGTTTACACTACCAAGAAAAAAAAAGCAGAATAAACGAAAAAAATCTCCTGGGTATAATGTTTTCACAACACATCCACTGAAGAGTTCTCTGTATTTTTTTGTTCTTTGTTGCTTCGTTCTTTAGGAAACAGAATTGTGATAGTCATATTGACCATTCAAGTTTACAGAATGCGCATCCTGTTTTGGGACATATGATATCATGATTACTGAGCTTCCAGACACAACATTTGCAACCCAGGAAATAATTTAAGAACAACTCGCTTCTGGTACCCTCTGTATGTCCCTAAGACTTTCGTGCCTCATGTCTGCTTTCGGGTCTTGCTGTCCCTGTTTCTCTTTCAGTTTTTCTGTCCTTTTGCCTTAAATGATAAAGCCATTAGTTTCGATTGAACCAAAGTTGTAAACATGTCTTTAGGCCAATCAACATTGATTTTTTAGGTTTTCATCACTCAAGATTGAAAGAAATCCGTCTGGAGGGGAGTTTATATTTTATATTTTATAAATTCCACTTCTTCACATTCAAAGTGAATTGAGGGAACGACGTCAGATAAATTTATAAAGAAAACACAACAAACATGAAAACTACTTAATATTAAGTACCAGTCAGCTGTTTAGTGACCTAGGGTTTGTGTCTAAAATTTAGATAAAGGTAATGAACCTCACAGTGCGACCGTGCCTGTGGATTTGGTGAGAAACTTGTCTGGAAAATACACTTTTTTGAGGGGAAAAACACACTTTCAGACAAAATATAAAATACTTTAAAAAAATTGGGGTGGGAGTGAAAATCGAGGAGGGACTTGATATGATGGAGACCTAAAAATCAATGTTGATTGGTCTTAGTTTAATTTTTTTTTGTGATTTAACAGTTTCAGATGTATCCTTTTAGGGCTTTAGGCAGACAACCATTATTTGCTTCCTATTCATTCTGTGTACTGGTCTGATCTGTGCTTCTGAAGCATGTTTTCCCCTAGGGTTCCACTTTTGAATGATAGCAAATAAGGAAGGAAATGTCAAATTTGTGTTTTTGAGGAAAATCAAAGATAAGTAGTTCTTAAGAAAACCTACACATTCAAGTAAGGGAATGACAAACCAGGTCTGTGTGATATACCCAGGGGTGAGTGGGGGGAGGGGGGGGGGTGATGGGGGGAGGTCACCAGAAAGAGCCACAGCATCAACTGACAAAACCCATTTATATCTCCATTATGTCTTCATTATGTCACCTTCAATTGAGTCGGTAGCCTTCGTTGTGAATTGCAATCTGTATATATTTTCAGTTTGACAGTGTTTTGATGTTTTCTCCTGAGGCAAATTGCACGGGGCTGCTGAGCAGCTTCCGAATTAATTGACTATGGCTTGAAAGTGCACCGGGTCTATGAGAAGTGGCTGTAGCCATGTCTCAATTACTTGGCTACGGCTTAAAATTCCACAGATTCAGATTCAGATTCAGATTTTATAAGTCATGTAAGTTAAAAACAGACATGAAATGCTTGTGCTGGTGTAAAAGCAATAAAACAAAACAGTATAAAAACAGCAACCAGGATATAAGACGATGAGAATCTTGAAAGTACCAATAGCTTGAAATCGCTAAACTGTTGGGGCCGTATCATAAGTCCGACGCCTCATAGGTCCGACGCCTCATAAGTCCGAAATTTCGGACTTATGAGGCATACAATTTATTTATTCCGCCTCATAGGTTAGACGCCTCATAAGTCCGACGCCTCATAAGTCCGACAACGGAAACACGAGGGGTTTAATTTGTCGGACTTACGAAGCGTCGGAGCTATGAGGCGTCAGATCTATGAGGCGTCGGACTTATGAGGCGTCGGACCTATGAGGCGTCGGACTTATGGGCCTTTATTTGGTTAGGGGATGCGATTCTGTCGGACCTATGAGGCGTCGGACCTATGAGGCGTCGGACTTATGAGCGGACCCCAAACTGTTCATTATATCACGTTATATACATGTATCTACAGTGGCGGCTGCAGCCACTTCCCTTAGGCTTGTGTGTAAATTCAAGCCGTTCAGTCAACTAATTCGGACATGGCCTACTATATTAAGAAAAAGTTAGCTGAGTACCAGTCACAAAGCCATTGCATGACAGTTTGGCTGGTAACCTTATTTTGCTCAGCAAGCAATTTTCTGCACTTTGTAAATTTATGGATATCATTTCACGAAGAGTTGGTGAAGTTGGCAGACCAATGTGACCTTATGTAGTGATGACATACATGTATCATTTGCGCATATTTGTGTGCAGTACAAATGTACATAACTTGTGGGTCAATGTCATAGGATGGCATTCACATTTACCAAGCACTGAATACATTTTGCCGGAAAAAAATAGGTTAATATCAGCCTAAAAACAAAACTAGAAACCAATAGCACCCGTACTGGGTTTGCACCATGCCCATGCGCAGGTGGTATGTGTGCATTCAGTGCTCTTTAGTCTTTTGTCCCGATGGGGTTTTTCACATTTTAAGCATGCCTTAAAATTAAGAACACATGCAACATTTTCCTCAGCAAAGTGCCTACCACCCCAGTAATTGCATGTGGTTCCTAGATAAGTGCATAGGTAATTTTTACAAATTTTGGGTCCTGTCACTGTTACATCTGACGTCTATAATGTTATAATTCTGATGCGATCCCTAATGCAGTCATCCTCCAAGAGTGATTATGACTAGCAAACTACCTACCCAACAAATTAAAAATCATTTGAAGTCATTCATAATGATACTTGAATGGCAAAGTACCAAGGTAACATGGACAGGAATTTATAGAATGCGCCACATACATTTACTTTTAAAACAAAAACAGTACTTTGACACTCACTTGAACAACAAATCCTTCACATGTAGGTCTACATGATAAAACTGTTTAGCCCTCCTGCTATTTAAACAGCCACAGACAGTCAAAATGTCCATCCACTTCCCCTGCAGCTATACGTTTAACACAAGCTAGTCACCAGCAGTCAGATCATGTCAAGCAAGTGGCTGTATCAAATTACATAAACAATCACGGCAGTCAGTCTTGCTTTATGTAGGCCTTATGAAATTCTTCACTGTTGAAAACAGTCACTTGATTGATTTTGACTGAAAGGACTACTTGGCACAGAATGTATTTGCATAGGAGGGTTAATCCAACTGTAAGTTGTTGAGTCATTGGGCATCAAGCAATTCTAATGCCTAAAAACATAACCATATTTTCACAGAATTCTCCCCGGCTTAGACCCAGTTAGAGGGGCCAGTAGACCACACCTGTCACCTGGGACCCCACCTGGTATTAGTCGTTTCTACTGGGTTCGCTGGGGGAAAAATGTCTGTTATCAGCCGGTAGGGTGTGGTCTGTGGTCTGGGCCAGCCATAATTTCAACCTGTAATTTAAAACAGTATAGAAACCAGGAGTCTCTGATGAATTGATTCAAGACCTATCTATTCATGCTATTTCTGTCTAATTTTCTTTGGGAGTTTAAAGAATTCCCAAACCAATACACTTGGAATTTTTTTTATCGAGGCTTGAAAATTCAAATGATAAATAATGTTGCAAATGTGTGACAAACATGTGCTTTTAACATTCAAAGCATTTCAAGCACTTGGACTTGGGTACAATGTCATTTCATACGTCATTGAAAGTGAATGCAAAGTTAATCTGAAGTCACAAAATAACCTTGTGGCGAAATTCACCGGAGTTGAAATGTGTTCAGCTTTTTGCAAATAAACCAGTACAATCATTTAACATGACTTCGCAAAGTTACTTTTGGTTTCGCTTTTGCAACAGGCATTAACACTTAATCAGCCTGAGTACATTCTGTCTTCTTATTTCTTGTTTTCCACATTGACATGCAAGCTTTTCTAAAACTCCAAATGTGACAATATCTGTCATTTATAAACCTTTAAACCAACGATTATGACAAAGTGCTTTCTAATCTTGTACCTACAGTTCCCTTTGCTGTAACCCAAAGACTTTAATTTATCCCGTCTTCCTCTTTTTGTCTTAGGATCAGGTTTCTCGTATCTGGGCAACTACATCGGTCCCTCCAGCACTGACTCCTTCAAGCAGTCCAGCGGCGTCGTTGCACAACCGGCGAGCATGAACCAGTACTGGCTGCCCAACTCTGAAGGTACGGTGTGTGTATTGTGCCAAGTATTCTGAAAATGGGGTCTACCCCATATTCCCCAATACCTATGTTCCCCAATACCGATGTTCCCCGAAATCCTTAGGATTAGGGTTAGGGTTAGGTTTAGGGTTAGGGTTGGGGACCATCAGTATTGGGGAACATAGGTATTGGGGAACATAGGTATGCAGTGCACCCCTGAAAATGCACATGACAAAGGCTTCTTGGGGCAGAGGGGGTGAGGGTGGTTGGGGTTAGGATGGGTAAAGGCAGTGTCGCAATTACTTGACTACGCGTGAAATTACACACAAGTCTACAGTAGTGGCTGCAGCCACTTCCCGTAGACTCGTGTGTAATTTCCAGCCATAGCCAAGTAGTTCGGACTTCGGACACAGAGTGCGACCGGTTCATACTTGGCATGGATGTGAACAGGAACCCGAATTATTTTGTGATGTCATTGCAAGTGTTTGCACTGAAAGTTGAACTCATTTCAACTCTCAGCAAATTTGGATGTGTACAGCTTGTGATGTCAACTTCACTTTGCCGTCACATTCATGATCCAGCTTTGAGTCACTTGGGGGAGGGGGGGGGGGGGGGGCAGGCAGGCTGGAGAGTAAGGAATAGTGAGGCAAGGATTAATTTGTTTTGAGGGGGGGTTGAGGATTAGGGTGGCTAAGGCCCAAAAAAAAGCTCCGGTTTCTGGTATGCACGCGCGTCGCCGTAGCCATGCGCGTCAGCAAAATTAAAAAAACTTTTTTCAATGTAAGATGATGTCTCAAAACTGCCAAACTCACTGGTTTGACTGCAATCCTACTGCTGCACAATTTTAACATGTTTTAAGATGGGGTTACGATCGAGTATAAGCTTTATGTGGCCTCTCTGGGCTCCCATATATGTTGCACTAAATTTAGTCGGGCACCATTTGCAGTCATCAGCCGACATTTGAAGAAGAAAAAAGTAAAAAAAAAAAAGTAAAAAAAGCCGCGTTGCCACACCACTTTTGGGGAAAGCTCCATACCAGAAACCAAAGACTTTTTTTTTGGCCTAACCGTCTTTCGTTTGACCAGTGTAAAGTATTACCTATTGTTGGAAGAAAATTTTCATTTCCTAAATTTCATATTGCAAATCTTGGGTTATTTCTAAAGACAGATGTTTGGGATCTGAAAAGTCCAGCAAATCTCTTATACCGCACCAAGTTTATACTCACGAGTTAAAAACACCCAAAAGCTACAAGAAACTAATATAAATCTGTCACTTAGTTTTTACGATTTTGTTGAAAGTGCCGTTTATTTTCTCTTTTCGGTCAACTATGTACCTTCGGAATTGTTATTGTTAAAAGAAGCATCAGAGCAACAGATCTGAAATTTCACTTATGTTTCAAATTGCACAGCCCCTGGAAAGCCTGGAAAGTATGAATTTTCTGCTCTCTGTTTGGGCCAAACTTTCACATGTATCTATTTTCCCAGCTGATACATGTTTCCAGAGGAAAGCAGCTACGTATGTGGGCAGGCACACAGCTTTCCTTCGTCTTGTGTCAATCCGGAGACCTCTGGCCCTTTCCCAAGAAAAAATAAACAGGAACTGCTGCACGGAGGGCCACAAGAGAGTCCCCAACTGTTTTCTTGTACCACGGCTGAGAGAACAGTTCGTGCTTAAGTTTATAAATTCGGCCGGTGAATAATACCGGGCCCCCTCCATTATCTTCAATACTTGTTTTTCTAACTAGTCGATAAAATTTACGTTGACAGACAAACCTGCATCTTTAATGGTTTCTATTTTATGGCGGGAGACAGGGGAAAACTTTAGTTTCCAAAAAGAAAAAAAAGGCAATGCACTTAAGTAAAAGTCGGGACGGAATGTTCAAATTTAAATTTAGAATACAAAAGCTGATCCCATTTAAGTAAAATCCCTGTTTAATTTATGCTTTTCTGCTCACTTTCACAACTGAATGTTTTTATTTATTTATTTTAAGAAAAATGATTCATTGTCTCTGTCTTGCTTATCACAAAAACAAGTTTGTTTAGTTTAACAGAAAGAAATTATGGTCATCCAGACTGTATATAAATGTTTGAGAGTAAATGAAGTTTTATGAGTGCGCACGTCTGGACTGTACACAAATGGAGTTGGCCCGTCCTTTCCTTTTGCGAACTGCACCGTTTGCCAGGGGCGTTTTAAGATCATTAATATCTGACATCACTCCAGGTTTTAACTGGGCATCACTGGTTGCTTGGGCATGTGCGGTATGGAGAATATATCTTCCAATAGTTCCAGAACAGTGGGCATTAGTGTGGCATAAACCAGACCATTTTTTGACAGCGAAGTTAGAAATTCCTTTTTGGCTATCCTTGCGTTTTGGGGAAAATGCCTTATTCTTCCTGAAGGGATAATTATTATGACATTCGTTTGAGAAATGCCTCAGGGGGGGGATGTTATTCTTTTGTGTTGGAAACCAGTATCATGCAGGCTTGCATGAGACATTTTTAGCCACATGGGTGTTACTAGTTCTGGAAATGTTGAACGAAAATGAAATTCTGTTATTACCAAACTAATCACAGTTTTATGACTAAATGTACTCAGTTGAAAAGAGTATTTGACATGTTTGCTTTTGTAGATGTGCTTTAGGGTTCACAATTTGTGTTGCAAATTTCTGTTGACACCTTTTTTTACACATCTCTAAATTTTGGTGTACGGCAGAATTTTTCTGTAATGCTCAGAGGAAAAGAAAAGGAAGTAAAAATAACAAAGCAAATTCAATTTTCAATTGATAGTTTTTATGAAGACAAGAGTGCCTTTTCTTGAAAATCAAAATTGAATTTCTAAAAATTCAAAACAAGCTGCACATTTTCTTTCTCAGTTGCAGGCAAACTCTGCAGCCGGTGCAAACTGAATTGGAAATTGGCTATATGCCCTGGGGTCAAGTTGCTGTGGGAATTTCCCCCGGGGAATTGCGGTCTTATTTTCCCCCCAATAATAAATGTGTACATTATTACGGACCACACCTGCTGCGAATCTTTGTTCCTGTTTGGCAGGGCGCCAAGGCAGAGGCCATGACAAAGCCTCAACTTTCCTTTTTTCTTCTCTTCTGCCCTCCCTTATTCCAGCAGGTATAATTGTGAATGAAAATTTTCTGCTGCAAGCTAACAGGGAAACCTTTCTCCATCAACTCATTCTCACGTAGTTTCACATGTCTTGGTACATGTCTTGGCAACATTCCATGCCCTGTTATCAGTTTTCTTTTGTTTGAAAAGTATGATCCACATGTCATGGGAAGTCACCCAAGGGGCTTAGGGATCCTCTTCCCACCCCCCCCCTTTTTTTTTTGCTCAAGGGGGACCTGATTCCCAATGGCTGATTCACCCCTCCCCCTCCTCCAAAATAAAAGTTACACTGCATATTTAACCAAAGTTAACTTCAGTTGTCACAACAATTTTCCTGCCTCGTGATAACTAAATCCTCTTCGTGGATCACCCATTTAACACAAAGTAAATGGTACAAACTACAGAGAACGGATGTGATTTTATGTACAGTGTACAAATTTACACCTGAATTGTGCCACCTTGAATCAGATGGTGTCATGACTCAGAGTATCACTGAGTATCACCTGTTGTCCAACGTATCGCGGAGCCCTGTCTGATAATGTGAACAATGCAAATTTTATGCGACCCTGCATGCCAGCCAATCGGAGTAGACTTTTTTCAATCACAAATGTGGACTAAGCTGTTGATTGGTCAAATAAAAAAAATTCTGTGCTGTTACATGCACATTTAAATGGTGATCACAAATCATTTATTAGAAATGTTCGTCGCATGTGAGTAATGTTGGTCCAGTAGTTTTATTTCATTTACTTGGACATTTAATCTTCCCTAGTGGATTCTCAGAAATATCCTCTAGTCTTTCCTTGACAGATTTGTGGTTGTAACAATGGATTGACTTCCCTTTTTTTAATCAGTTTCATTTCCACAAATGACTAGCCGACATGGAAACGAAACAATTTGAAAGTCGAGCTATTCTTAATCACAAGTCACTTTGGAAGTCGAGCTTTTCTTAATCACAAGTCATGTGTCAGGTCACAAGAAACAATAACAAGCTCGAGAGGATTTCGGAAGCTGTGGAATGCGTGTTCATGCATGAGTCGCATGATTGTGCCATGTAATTTCTGGAGGGAGAAGTGTTTTGAGTAAAAATATCTGCTTTTTGAACCCAGTTACCCCATGATGACCTTTGACCCCAGTTTGGTCATGTGACATGTTGGGGCTAGGCTACTGTATAGAAAAAAGTTTGTTTGAAATTGGTCAAAATATGAAGGAGCAATAGACAATGTCAACGTTTGTTACTGACTAACTAACTAACTAACTAGACAAGATGATTTGTTGAGCTGCTATCCCGCAGCTAAAAAAGGAATGTTGTTTTCACATTTTGTTTTGAATAATGTACCGACTTAACTTAACATTGGATAACTTGTGAGGACATAACGTTGGACTAAAAAGCAACCCTGAAATGAATTGAAATAGAAAGAGGAAACCGTAAACTAGACTAACGATTGTTGTGTCTTTGTCGCAGGGTATGCAGGATTCTCCGTCAGTGGTGCTCATTCCTACCCACCATACCTCACCGCTCTCAACTCATTACCCGGCCCAGGAACCCAAGGATTGCTTGCAGTTTCAGCCACAGCTAAATCAGGTAACACGGAACTCCTTTTATCCTCACGGAAGTTTCAAGTAGCCGTTTTGTCTCGTTCGTTTTCCTCTTTCATTTGTCACCGTTAATACCTTCATGTGAGTTTATTTAGTCGTACATGCAAGAAACCTCATACAACTCGGAATGAAATTTTTTGACAAAAATTGAAAACGGAATAAAGTGGGCTCTCTGTGGGTTGCTTGAAGTTTAAATATGTGTTGTAACAATTCCTAAGTTTGAGAAAGCATTTTCAGTATGCCTCATTCTGGGTATTTGGATTTTAAAATAATTTGTTTCCAATTATAGCCGAATATAAAGTGTTCTTTGATTAAAGATGCATTAATTTTTTGGAAACCGTGATCAGTTATCACAACAAAAGTACCCTCTCATCAAAAATTTCTTAAAAGTAATACATTTGTGAAAATTACTGTGCTTTTCCTATTCAGATTTTCCAATTTAGATTTTACAGAGCAAAGTTGTTGCCTAATATAACACAATATTTTTCACTGACTGTGAACCTTTGTCAGGTCCTATAATAGTTGATTCTCAATACAGTTGTGTTATTCTGGTTCCTTCATCACAGAAAGCCAACGTATCCCGGCATCCCACCACATCAGGAGCAGCGACTTATGGGAAGGCCCGCCGTCTAAGCTCAGCAAGACCTCTCCTCACATTCTCAAAGAGGCCGCCCTCTCCCCAAAGACACCGACCCATCCGCCGGCCAAGTCCAGGCACACTTCAGGAAGTGAGGACAGGAAGGCGTCCAAACACGATTCCAGCCGGAGCAAAAATAAGGACAGAGTCCTAGACAGCACTTTGGTCGAGGAGAAAAAGGAATCTGCCGCCAGTAGATGTAGCAAGACGTCTTCAAAGGAAAAAGGAAATTGTTGTGATAGTACACCAAAAACAGAACAGAACTTACAGTCAGACTCCAGACAGGACCTACAGACTAAGAAGTCTGAAAAATTGTCTGAACCGAAACAAAAATTCCCCAGCAATCCGGGTACTCTGACAATTGAGATAAACAATGGAGAGGAGCTGTCAAATTCAGCTTCAAAGTGTAACGGCGACGCTAGCGTCCTAAGTCCCAAGAAAGAGAGTTCGAAGGGCAACCCAAGCTTACAAGCTTCGAGTCCGAAATTAAAAGAATCGAGCTCAGAAAAGCGGAAGAAAGCAAGCAAGCGGAAAGACTTGTCAGTGGACGTGAACGGAAATGCTGTGCTATCCAGCATTCCTTCCGTCGCGGAGAAGAAAATTGCACCACCGGCAGCTACTATTGTGTGTATTAGTGAGAATTTGACGCCAGTGGCTTCATTCGCTTCAGAAACACTAAACGCAAGTAATTCAGCACATCTGCCAGCAGGTGCAGAATCTACGAACAAAAATCAACCAATTCAAATGGACGCATCCACTAATGGCAATAACAGGATGTCAACAAGTGCTGATACTGTGCCACTGACTGCCAGCCCTCTGTCATCTATCACGGTGCCTTCTTCAGAAAAACTCTCCCCTCGTTCACTCCCGGGTAAAGTCTCGAGTCCAGCGTCAGCGCCCCTTTTGTCAACCTCACCGAGATGCTCCTCTCATGGAACTGACAGCTCAGCTGCCGTAAGTCCGTCAGGAAAAACCACCGGTGGGGTTATTTCCGTGCAGACTAGCTCCCCTGGAGTTATTATGTCTACTTCTTCGTTAGGAGACTGTACTCAAAGAACCAGTACGTCTGGGGATTCACCAACAGCAGGAGCTGATGTCAGAAAGATAAACTCACCGGTAGATATTCCAACAAGTCTGAACTCTTCTGACATTAGTCATCCCAAAGCTTGTCCCATCGGAGCCGGACCAGCAACATCTAATGTCCCAACATCAAGTCCACTTGGAGCTACTTCTTCAGTAGCTAATCCCTCACTGGCTTATCCCACAGACGTTAATCCCAAGGGTGTTAATGCCACAGGGGTTAATCCCTCTGGAACGCATCCTATAGGAACTAATCCCAAAGGGACAATCCCCATCGCAGCTAATCCTACACGAGCTAGTCCGACAAGAGCTAGTCCACAAGGGACCTTCTCTTCAGAGGGAAGGACAACTGAAGCTAATCCTACCGGAGCTAATCCTACCGGTAGTAATTCAGCAGGATTAAGTCCCACTGGGACTAAGCCCACTCGATCTAGTCCCTTGATCATTGGCAGCTTATCCAGTCCCCACAGTGTGATTAGCGGTGATCTGTCTCGCGAGAGCCCGGTTGAGAAGGAGAAATTGCCAAGCCCGAGATCGCTGGTCACTACTACAGCTCTCAGCACATGTAAGTAGATCTAAATTGTATAAAAGACAAGGAAATCTGAAAACCTATTTGACCAGTTCATACTGCACATCACAATACATTTGCGGGGAATTTGGTCAAGGTTGAAATGTGTTAAACTTTTGCAAATTGCGGCTTACAAAAACTTACCATGAATATTTCACGTTAGCATCTGCTTTCCCACTGAAAAAGAATCAACCTTCACCCTTCCCACAGCATCATCAATTCGTTGTGACTGTACACACAACAAACAGGCATCCAGCTTGAGTTCTTTTAATCAACGTAGAAAAAAAATTGTTTCGAAGGAAGTAATGTTTGTTCTACAAATCCAATGGGACCACTGTGACTGAGCATGCACTGTTCACATTGAATTTATGAGTACAGTATTTCTCTAAAAACGCCTTTACATGCATGCCCTTGCTGTCTATTTTGTGGCCTTTAATTTTTAACAGGCGTAATGATGCTAGAGACACAAAACAAACTGAAAACTACCGTTCACTTGAGGAACGTCAGCTTTACACACATTATTCTGAGTCTTGGTTGCAAAGACTTGAAATTGATTTAACACAATTTTACGTGCAGAATACTTTATGTAGGTTCACAAGTTTAGTATTTATCAAATTAGGTTTTGCCCTTCACCAACATTTAAACACTGGATACTCAGTGTGTTGCCTTCCGATTGAAAGTTGGAAAACTTCGAACCAGCCAACCAATCCTGTTAGCTCGGTGGTCGAGTGGTACGACATCTGCACTAGAAAGCAGGAGGTCGTGGGTTCGAGTCCCACCCGAGTGATTTTTTTCCAACTTTCACTCGGGAGGTAACACACTGAGTATACAGTGTTTAAACGTCGGTGAAGGGCAAAACCTAATTTGAAAACCACATAACTTATCCATATTTCATCAACTCCTTGAGACCACTCACATTTTTCGAGTGTTTAAAGGTATTTCACCCCGACACAAAACTCCATCTTAATAGTATTTATGTTAGAATGACCCTCAGACACAAAAAAAAAAACAGACAAAAAATACAGCCCGCCAAAAAATACAATTTTTTCCGTCTCAATCCTAACAATAAGTTTGGTATGTAACAGCATTCTAGGACTGTCACAGATAAAAAAAAAACCTTTCAAGTTTTATTGCTAAATGCAGTTCAGGGATACATAACTGCTCCAGTCCTTGTAAATCAGTTATTACAAAGCAGACGCTTATTGCACAGCTCAGAATATAGACTTGGCCCTACTCGGGTTCTAAGCCAGTGTTGAAAACAAAAATATGTGCAGAGTGAAGAGCAGACGTCACTAGCCGATACCCTCTTCAGGGCATCAGTAAAACAGTTAGTGACTCAGCAATAGCCTCCGAAGATTCCCCCTCCAAATTGGGGAGATTTATTCTGAAATTAAAGTTTTCAAAACACCGTGAAAGGCTTTCGGGGCCACTGTGGGAGTAGACTTTTATTACCATTGGACCCGTCCTCCCCACGGCTCCCGGGATCGCTACTCCGAGCATCCGGGGGGCTTTGAGTCAACTTCCTTATTTTTTACGCTCGGCCACTTCGCACGAAAACCGGGGAACATTACTTGACAAAACGCCACAAATTTGAAACAGATTTGGAGCGAGTGAGCCGCACAAAAGAGAGAGGGGGTAAAGGAAAGAAAGAAGGGGAAACGTTTATTATTGTAGCGTGAGTCGGGGAGGGGGTAAGGGATATATGGGGGAAAATCTCCAGCATTTATCCAGTTAGCATCAGGAAGGAAAGGAAATAGTGACATCGTAATGCATGATGCAGAGACGTCCATCTCAAATGTCTTGTGGTGTGTCGTCCTGGCTTGGAAACAAATCCACCAGAGACTCGCAAATGTTGTTTTTTTGTCGCGTCACAGGAAAAAGAAATTTCTGTAAATAGTTTTAGCAACATGCAAATCCATTGCTGAGGGAAATGTGAACGATTGCAATTTTTTTCTGTTTAAATTTATAAATATTTCGTGAGTGGGTAAGATCACAGGATCCTAAAAATTACACGGCTGTCTCTTAGGATTCCCAGTAGACAACCAAAACGACAGGTGGTGAAAGGAAAGGTCTTCGATGGATAATACATGTCTATCATATGCTTTTAAATAAAAAAATTGACTGGAGATGCACTTGAACTGCCAACCTCTTGAAATCTACACAAGTGCTCTAACAACTGAGAGCAAGTTGGGTGTGCACCAATAGGCAACTTGTGGTTGAATCGTGATGCAACTTATGCCTGCGCACTAATAGATATCACTCAAATGACGTCGCTGCCTACAGATTGTCATCGGCATATTTAGAGGCAAATTTTCATGATACAACATGCACGCATATTTATAACATTTGCACACTGCACGCACACGCACCTGATGGTGTTGAATACGCAGATAATTTGCCTATGAAGATGGCTGTCTATGTCTATACCAACATGCGAATGACTCCTGTCAAACGCTTTCAAAACATCATCGCAAAAAATCATGATCCTGGTTCCAAGCTGCTTGTTATGATGTGCGTGGCTATCGGTAACCAGCAATGGAACCATGCCCCAGGCTCCGGTTCTAAATAGTCGACTAGCATAGTCCACCCATGCTGCATTCGAGTGAAGTTAGTTGAACTATAAGGTTAACCATAGCCCTCACCAGAACTTGCTCTGACCTATCCAGCCCGAAGTTAATGATTCGCTGTATGTTTGTGGTCTTATATCAACTTCTTGCTTAATTAGGCTATTCAGAAGCTATAAACCCATGACATATTGAAATAAACAGAGAAAAGGAAAGTGTCACCCAAAATTACCTACATGTAAAAAGCAATACCCCTCTTCTGGAAGTCAAGAAAATGCTTTTCAGATGTCAAATGACTTAGTTAATGTAACATTCATACCAGAATATCTGTTGATTGTTATTAGGGGAGAATGCAAAATTAAACAAGTGGTAACTGGAGGTAGAACCCCAAGGTAACCCATAAAACCCTGTAAAGCCTTGAGGTAAACCTCAAGGTAACCTAAACCTCAAGGTAACCTTCGAGTTACCACCTGTTTAACTAGCAAGTGTTAAATAGCTGAAGAGGATGATGTCTTTCATCATGATTCTTGACATTTTGCATGCGACCCTTATTATTTTGGGGAGGAGCTTATAATGAAGTAGGGTGCAAAATCTGTGATAATTAAATGAACGAGTCTTTTTATGTCTGCTCTAAATTTCAACAGTTTTCATAATTGTGTTACGCTCACCTGAAAATTTGAATCTTACGTTTCAAACCTGAGTTTTCACATTTTTTGGTCATTTGTAGGTGTGACATCATCGGTCTCCAAGCCAATTTCCTTTCCTGCTCACGGATCCCTGCCCTCCCCTTCCTCCCAGACTCAGCCGTCTTACATCAGCCATCTACCCATCTACCTCCATGGCACGGGGCATCTCAGCCTGGAGAGGGAGGTCGGTCGAGAGACCCCACGAGACGGCTCCAAGGTCCATGCCACCACGTTTGTTCCCGCCCTGGGGGAGTTCATCCCCGGACCAGCCTCCAGCGCGACCATGCAAGTCAAGGAATCGAAAACGAAAACCTCAACCAACGGCAAAGAGAGTAATCACGGACCGCTTGTTAGCGACAAGGAGAAAGAGAAAGTATCCTTGAAAAAGGAGCCTGCCAAAGTTGGCACATCGCTGTCGACAAAGGAGCAGATAGTGGTTTTGCCCAAAGGAGACGTGGGTACTGAAAGGACAAAAGTAGGATCTTCACATCAGGACTGTGGAGCCAAGATTAAGGAAAGTCTGGACTCCAAATCAACTCTTACCAAAGCAAAAGGTGAAAAGTCGGATAAGCATGATAAATTGAAGAAAGGGCACTCGAGCAGTAAACCATCTCATGAGAGTCGAGACCATCATCTTTCACCATCAGAGCTCTCTGCCAGTGGGAAGGATCGGGTGATGGAGGGCACACACAGGACGCCTAGTGATTCAATTCACAGAGAAACGTGCCGGACGTCCGATGCGGCCATCATCAGCACGACGCCGAGCATGCACAGCTATCCCCATCACATGGCTGGCTTCTCACTGCCGCTCAGTAGCATGGTACCATCCTCCAGGGAAGGGAACAAACTGGAAGCCCCACCCACGTTGTACAGCACCGAAGAGCAGCGACGCTACTTGGAGTGGCACATGGCTGCCGCCAAGCGTGGCTACTGCTACGAGCATCCAGGAAATCGAGTCTCCAGCTCGGAGCCCCCAAAGCTGGATCCAAGCATGATGCACAGGACGCCGCATCAACCCAGCTTCCCTTCACCCCGGACGGACAGCCGACCAGAGCCGATGCCTGAACACAGCCGGGGGAGGGATTACCCATCGTACACAGCTCCGCAGGAGAGTATGCTACGGTCCGTCTTGACGGCAGGAATGCATCAGGCTCACTCTGAGGCGCAGCGAACATCTCCTGGAAGCAGCAGTAGCGGCAGTGGCACCAGTGGCAAAGCTGCAAAACAAAGCAGCGAGACAAAGACTGAGAACCGCAACAAGTCCGTGAGCCATGGCAGCAAGACGTCCTCGGACAGCCTTGGATCTCAGGGCAGGTCGACGCCGGGAACCAAAGGGAGTGACGGTCGTAATCCTCCCGTCGGGATAGCCGTGGCTCAGAAGAGACAGGATTCTGACAGTGTGAGCCAGGGACGGCCATCCACCATCACTACACAAAGAAGTAAGGCTCTTTGATAGGCTCTTTGTAAATTGAGACTTTTCATTCTCATTGCAGAGTACAATTGTAACAAATGCACAAATCTCATAGTTCAATGCACATCCGTACTCTCTGCTCTGAACATTGGAAATGTAATATAATACGGGTTTTGAAATGAAAATGCCATTGTATGCAGTGAAACTAAACACTGGACACACCCTCTTAGCAAATGTTGCGGTTATTGCCTTTGGGGCTTTTAGACAAAAGATGACTGGGTCTGTGAATGATCTCTGCTGTTCGTGTTCTGATTAACAAATATCTCTAGTATGCCCCTATAGCTGAAATATCTCATAAAAAAAAATACATAATGTGACCCCCAGCACAAAACCGGTCGGAAATCGCCAGCCGTATTTTGAGATACAGCCTATAATACAGCCTCTAATACATAGATTATTGATGAGAATTGGGAACTGAAAACGCCTATAACTCTGTCAGATTTTGTCTGATTCCCATATTCTGTGCATTATTGGAAGGCTTAGTCAGTGTCCTTTCCATTGAACCCAAAATCCCAGTTTTAAAAATCAGTCCAAGTGACTGGTTTTTGTACTGGAGGGTGACATGTGCAAACATTTTGAAATCTCATTTCTCAGAGTTTACAAAGTGCAGTCAAGCCTGGTCTGAAACCATTGCTAAGAAATCTAATCTCAGATCGTATGTTCCTACCTGTGCACACATGCTGACTTGGTCTTCAACCACTAATTCTTCATATTTTTATATCAATGCATCAAACAGACAGCCCCCATGTTGGTTCTGATGAGGCTGAGGACCGAGGGGCTCGATCCAGGGCCATACACGGAGTGGACAGAGATGGCAAACACAGGGAACACTCACCACGGTAATTATTGGTCATTCCATACATTTTGGGTCCACCTTTTTTCCTCATCCCTGTTGCATCTGACATCTGTGATTTTATTTTTCTGATTCACTCCTTAGAGGGGAGTGTGGCCTAGTGGTTAGGGTGCGTGACTCATGATCAGAGGGTCAGGGTTCGAATTCAGCTGCTGATCATATGTTGTGTTCTTAGGCAAGCCACTTTACCCCTACTTGCCTCTCTCCACCCAGGAGTATAAATGATTAGCGGCATTAGCTTGGGAGTAACCTGCGATGAACTGGCATCCCATCCAGGGGGAATAGAAATATTCTCAGTCGTTTGCTGTATTGCTTGTGACAGACTTTACTTTTTTGCTACTCCTTAATGCAGCCCAAGATTGGTTACAAATAGCAAGCTACCTACCCCAAAAGTGAAAATCATTTGAAGTCATTCTTAACAATTCTTGCAAGTACCAAGGTAACAGAAACAAGAAAAATGTCACACTTGGACCCTAAATTTATAGAATGACCCAAACAGTGAAGACACTTTTTAAGAAACACAAGGCCAAGACTTTTTCACCGAAACACAAGGCCAAGACTCATTCAAGGTGTTTGGCTACAAAAGTAGAAAGAACAGAAAAGAATGAAAGAAGTTCATTTCTACAGAAGATACCGTATCTGCTCACATTTGTTTTGAATTGTGAAGAAAATATTGGTACAAGGGGAACAAGATTTGGGTTGGGAGTGGCAGAGAGGCAGTAAAAATAACTTGACAAATGCCTCACGGTACTGTCTTCGGAACTGTAATAGTGAATGGATTTTTAGGTTTTAGAATTAAATTGACATCATTTCATATGAATATTATCATTTCATAATGAATCATCCACAGGCAATATTGAGATGTCTTCATCACTACGCCACCTTTGAAGAAAATTATCGGAGGGGGAAAAAATTGCGTGTGTGCGAGGTTTAGATTTCATGTTTCCGATATCATATTCACTTTTTTTTCTTATTTCATTCATCAACTTGCAGGTCTCACAGGGAAGCAACCGATCTGCTGCCGCCGACGAAGTACCATCATCACCGGTACCCGGGGGACCTAGGCTCCAACCTCATTGTCACAGGTGCGTCAACAAATTCACCGGATCTTGATTTTGAATCGGACATGTGAATTGGGTCACGCATGGCTGAAAATGCAAAGCAGCGTGCATATCAGTTCTGATACTAGTCTGCACTTTCAGTTGTAGTGTGCTTGAGTAACGATTTGAAAAGAAAAATGAGTTATTTAAAGGTAAATTTGAACTGAATTTAACTGAAATTTAGCTGTATACCACAAATATTGCCCTTGCACTGAAAAATCAAAGGCAAAATTGTCATCACACTTTATTTGAATAAGTTTGCCCATTATATTTGAATAAGTTTGCCCACTATTTTTCACTTACCAAAGAGCAGACTGCCAGTGACTACCAGCAGAAAAAGACCTTTTTTCCTTCTTGCACAGAATGCACCTTCAGAATTTTATTTTTTCTGAATGTTTTTTGAGTGTATCCCACCGCTGACATTTACACAGGTACAGCATCAAATCTTGAAAATATACATTATCCCTTGTTGTATTCTTTATTGAGTTTTTGTTTTCTTACAAAAATGTGAAAAGTTTTGAAAATGCGATGTCACTTTTTAACTTTTTGACAAGTTTAGTGTGATTAATATTTGTTAAAATGTAATATAATTCGCATAGTATTTCAAATGTAAAAGCATCTTTTTTTGTTTAAGATAGGTATTTTGGCATGCGTCTTTCATTGCAAATGTGTTTTGTTTTATTTGTAACAAACCCAGGTGGCGCCAGTCTAGGCCCCTCCCCTCACCACTTTGACCCCACGGAGGGCCGGATGACCCCCTCCCACCCAGCCCACCTAGCCCTCCCTCCCCCCTGGCTCCCCAGGGCACCGGGCCCACCCCACGCCCCCTCCCTCTGGCTGGGTCATCCCTTTGGCTTGACCACGCCCCCCGGCACGGCCCTGCATGCCGCAGCCGGTGAGGGTGCGTCCAGCCATCTACAGGTTCCGCCGGCGGGTCTGCAGGTCGCCAGGGATCCGGCTACTGGGCATCTGGTCCTCGTGCCTCAGGTGCCGGCCGTGCACTCGGACTCCAGCGTCCCGCCCAACTTGAGTAAGCAGTCACCACAATCCTTTAACTTAGAACTGCTCAACCAAACTTGTGACCCACTTACACAAAATGAGTTTGAAGTCGTCAGAGCTACTTTTGACTTTCAATCCCTTTCAACAAATCTTGCACAATGGAAATCCATGGAAACTGTTGACATTTTTACTCATCACAAGGCAGGCGTGGTTCTAGAGCCAATATTTTTGTGGGGCTAGCAGGGTGGATCCAGAATTTTTTTCAGGGAGGCGTGATGAAATGTAGGGGGGGGGGGGCTCGTGCCATATTTTCAATGGGGAGCTCTGTTAAAATCCTACAATCTGGCACACTCCTTAACTAAAAGTGTACAAATGCACCCTTCTCGAGACTATTTATTTAGGGGGAGACCATTCGCATGTACATCACATTCTTATGTTCTTACATTTTGCTAGTGCAATTTTTTCATGGATTTTTTTATGGGGGGGGGTGGGGCTAGACAAAATTTGAGGGGAAAGCCCCCCCCCCCCCCAGAACTGTCAAAATGTCCATATTCATCAGGACGTCAAAGTGGTTGATATATCAATATGAAGAGCTGAGTGTGTGATGTTTTAATATGCGCATGAAAAAAATAATTTGTGAAAAAAAATTCTTAAGATTCATTTTGTAGAATCTCTTCACATTTCCTTTTAAGCCCTAAAACAGCGAGCGGCTTTTCACAAAAGTTGTAGTGTTTCTGTTAGCAACTCGTATTTGCCAAACATCATTGACAACTTTATGCTTCTGGCAACTCCATAAAACCCAGCCGAGAAAAAAAAAACCCACTTATTTCAAATCCAAGCTCAGACTCGACATTCATCAAGACACAATTAAGTTACCGTTTTGAATTTGTAATACCCTTAACATCCACACACAACTCAGTCGTAGGGATTGTTTACTGTTTAGTGCATGGCTACAAAGTGCTGTAACCTTTGTATTCACTCGCTGTGACCAAGCAACTTTTACCATCGAGCAACCGAATGGCGCCAGCAGATTTAGCCACAATCAGATACCGTTTTATTGCAAACTTGACTTTAAACATGATGGGTAGGTCAGAAGTGTTCATACGCAGACATTAGACCATGACTTATTTGCTTCCTTGAAGGAATAAAGGATCATGTATGTTTATCCCAAAAGTACCCTACTAAAGTACTACCAAGAAGCGGAAAAAATATTGCATCCTGACGCCACTTTTTTCATCAGATATTATCTCATTGAAGGTCAGTCATTGCAAAAATGTTGAAAAGACATGAAAATGGGACTGAGAAACATTTCCAATTTTGTTAAAAAATCCTTTGAAAAGGCGCTCAACTCTCCATACACTTTGTACACAAAAAAGAAGTGGCGTCTGGATACTACATTCTTTCCCACAAAAACTTAAAGATCGTACTGATACTAAACACGCCGTGAAATTGTTCCATCTGGCTTGCTGTCATTTAGAGGAAATCTAGAAATGTAGGTGATTTCCATCAATTAGTCAATTTACTGATTTTGAAAGAGTGTTATCAAAGAAATTTTGTTTTGTGCATGGTTTTCCACCGTTTTCTTGAAAAGTATAACATCCACTGAAATGAAACCTCAACTGCTTAGGTTTGCAACATTCTTTTTTGGATTTTGAGTGGTGTTTTTTTTATTGGAAAGGAACAAAATGCATAAAAATAATGAGCCTCTATGCCTTTAAACCCAAAGCAGAACAAACAAAAATGGTCGTACTTGTCGCTCTGTGAACATGTTTTGCAAAAAATGCCAGATCCCCTTGCTCAAGCTGGTTCAAGTTGCCCGCATGTCCGCGACACAATTCACATGTTCGGCGTGATTGACTGCAGATGTAAGTTATGATTGTTCCCAGGCAGAGCAGTCTGTTTCTTTGACGTATGTCCTTTGCAGGTGCTCCCTGTTCGTAATTGTTTGAGACCGAGGTAAAATAATGAAATAGCCTTTCCCAACGACTGTGTGATATTGGATTGCTCTTGATATGATAGTGCAAGTTGGGATTTATGGACAGTGTTTTGGAGAGCAAAGCACTTTTGACACTCAGTCATATCAATAAGGTTTTCCATCAGAGAGTGAATGACACAGTTCTTTTCCACAAACTGGACACCTCGTTATTTTTTAATATTTGTTTAAGCTTGGTTGAAACTCTGTTAGTGTGCCACTCATTTAAAACTGTGATCATTGTGCATCATCCCATCATACTTGAGCAAGTTGAAAGCAGAAACAAAAAACAGGTAGAACAATTTGAAGTCAAAGCAATGTATAATTACATCTGAACTCATTTGTGTTTTTTTTTCCTGTTGCAGGCATGTGGCCGTACCTGGTCCCTCCCCACCTGCAGCCCCACAGCCACCAGCTGCAGCAACTTGTCCTGAACCAGCCCTCCTTTGCCCCACCCTTGCCACACCAGGCCTCCCACCCCTTGACCCACAGGCAGGACCAGCCGCTCCCCAACGCCGACTACCACTTTGCCCTGCAGCAGCACCAGGAGGCCCTGGCCCAGTGGTACCGACAGGATGAGCAGCGCCAGAGGGAAGAACAGCGCAGACGGGAACAGCAATCCCGCAAAAGCAGTGGGGGTGGCGGGGAGAAAACTCAAAGTGACAACAAAAGTCACAAAAGTGGTTCGGGCGGAGAGCCAAAGTCAGAAAGTCACACGGAAAAGCAGCCGGCATCTCACCATCACGACGTCCTCAATCTTAAGATACCGCCCCACGCCCCATACCTACCTGGTGTGTCGTTACCAGGCCAACCGCCAGTCTCCTACGTCTACCCACCACAACAAGTGCAATACCTCTACAACCACGCAGGTGTATTCCCAGCTGTCTCCTGTAGCTCATCTCCGAGAACTGAATCTGGAGCCTCGACGGCTTCACCGAAGCAAACCACGACAAAATCCAGCACCGGCTCGGACGGAAACAAAAACACCAAATTGGACAGCAGTCTGAAGACTGCTCTGAAGAGCATAAGCGTCCAGACATCCCCCTCTGAGACCCCAGCCAGCGTGGATGACTCCAATGAGACGAAACCTGCAGCATCAGAAGAGACGGAGGAGAACGAGGAAATGGACACCTCTCTGAGGACAGAGGACAGTGAAGATCAGGAGTTGATCATTGTCGACGTTGTCAACGATGACGCCAGCGACAGCCCGATGCTGGAGAGTGAGAAAATCAACCAGGAGAACAAGAACTCTTCTACTCAAGCAAACTCTGAAACAGAACCTGCTGTTGCTGATACCAAACTGGTCGAAAAGTCAAGGACTAGTGCGATGATTGTAGACCCAAGGACTAACATGTTGAGTTCAGCTGTGCTGTCGTCAACTGAAATCCAAACTGATATGAGCTTGGACCCAGCCATGACGCAGAAAATGATTTCAGAGACGGTAATACCCATTACTCCTCTGACTACGCCCCCTTTAGACACCGAGGTCCCTTCGCTTGAAACTCCGCCAGCCCCGATTCAAGAGGAGCCAGGCAAGGACTCCCTCATCTCTAACGTTTTGACGACCACGCAGAGCTTTGCATCCCGGATGGAGGCTTTGGATCAGGACCAGCTGGCAGCCATCGAGGGCATCGCATTGTTGAGCGAGGTCGCTGAGCAGAAAGTCTTCTCCGTCTGTAATGGTAAGCTGCTTTTAAATTTAAACACAGACTCCGAAATAATCAGGTGCTAATTTCATAGTAGCTAGCAAGCACACACATTTGTTAGCACAGGAAAAGTTTGCTAAGCAATAGCGGGTTACCAGTCAAAATGCCATGTGATCTATACTGCTTTTGACTGGTTCCCAGCTTTTTTTTTAACTTCACAAGAAAATGTTCAACATATTGATTTTGTTACTGTTACTGGCAGTTACAGGGTCAAACTCTTGTGAAGTGCCAAAGATGTCTGATTTGGTTTCGAACCCCATCCTCAAGTTGAAAACATGGCATTTGTCTCCAGAAGCACAAACTTTTGCTGCATTGTTGTGTTTCTTTTAGGAGCAATAGACACCGTTTGTGACAAAGAAGTCAAGTTTTTCACGGCAAACAATCAAGTGGGGCAATGAGATAGTTGTGTACTTCACTTGCCTTGTTACCCCTTGGTGATGATTTTTGTATAAAAAATACTTTTGTTTTTCATGTGTGCCTAGAAGTAATAACCGTTTTCGCTGTTTGCAAAAAAGGGAACTTGCTGTGAAAGGTTGAAAGATGCTTAGAATTGCAATAAATTCTTTCATTCTAAAGATTCTACAATGACAGCCATGTCAGGCCTTCCTTATTTTCACATTTTTCATTGAGAGTTTTACAGTTGTTTCACAGAATGGTCTCTTTTCAGTCCTGAAATCTTTTGAGAAATCTTCAATATTTTCAGTCTGTAGTTTGTTTTTCTTTCAACCACTTCTGAAGATCTTTTTTTCCTGACTCATCAGTAATTAGATCTGAATGTTTTCAAACATCCTGCGTCATCGAGAGATAAGAACCGCACCGGATCTAGTAGGCATACGCGTCTAAATTAACTGGACTTCCCTTTTAAAACTAGTCAGAGTTTCATGTTCACTTTCAGTTTTGTTTTGTCCACATTCGGAAAAGTACATTGTGTAACATTAATGTCAGGAAAGCACAGCAGATTAGAATTGGAAAATACTGTCTGTGTGAACATGGTGTGAAGCACCAGAAGTACCATGGACATTTTTTTCCCTCTTCTTTTTTTACAGCACTGTTACTGTTGCATTCTGAAATATCTGCTTATGCAGGGTGGTTCAACAAATAAACCGGAATAGCTTACTTCCACTACCCTGAGACTCAAACCACATGCCAATGCGTGAAGAATCTTTTTAGAAGAAAAATGAAACCAAGATCGCCCAATTCGGTCCAGTAGTTTTTGTTCTAGAGCCTATTTTGTTAAGCAAGGTGGGGGTCATTTTTGTCCCGATGAATTACTAAACCACGCCCGGGAATTTGACTTACATTGTATTTGATAGAGGGATTGTTATGCAATAATACCCACATGAAAGAAGTGTGCTTCACAAAATAGGCTCTGCAGCAAAAACTACTGGACTGAATCGGGAGATTTGGGAATCATAATTCTTCTAAAAGGATTCTCCATCAATTGGTACAGTTGGTTTGAGTCTCAAGGTAGTGAAAGTATGCCGTTGTGGTGTTGTTTTTTCGACCACCCTGTATAGTGTATGAAACTTATGGCATACATGTACATTGAGGATTGTTTGAAGCACTCTCAGACTTTTTGACTTAATAAAGTCCGAGACATTTTTGGCAGAGGATGTTGCCCTTTGAGCCAAGCCTGAGCACAAAACCTTTGCTTCTGCTTTCTTAACCTTTGGAGGAAGGCACTGTATTTCATTGCATGGGCCTCCATAAACATCAGCTTCTTCAGCTAGCTTTGATTCTCTGTACAATGCAAGCGTGCTCTCAACCATAGCCGTAATAAGTTATAAAGAACCTGTAGAAATGTCACAGGCACTTGCCAATTAAAAGAAGGGGCGCCGGTAGTGCCAAATAAAAGAACTTCCAGCGTTGTCGTCCGGTTTCCCCGAGCTACAGCAGTGACATTTACCACGGTGCTGAATACCGGCGAAGCTTCGGTCTTTTGAAGGTTCTGAATGGCTGAAGCTGCGTGATAAACGGTTGCCTCACATCGGCACATTCACTTCCCATTCCGGCCCGTGAGGCCATTGGGAGGGGCCTCAAAACGGAGTGTTGTTTATTAAGGCGTGTGGTTCTATCACAGCAAGTAAATGCCACAGATGAGGAGTTTAGATAAGCAGAGTGTATTGGGAAAATTTTGGGCAGCTTAAAGTGCACCACACAAGCTTTGTATCTAGAATGGGAAGGTACTAGGTTGAGAAGCATAATTTCCATATTACAAAACAAATGATCCCTCTCACACCCATCCCCAAAGTAGTAGTAATAGTAGTAGTCGTCGTTAGAAAATTTATTTCAATGTTGCCATTTTTCATAGAGTGTTACAATCTCATATAAGCAAATGTAGTAAACAAATATGAAATTAGATGGGTATAATATACATAGATCTTGAATACTGGATAAGCAAATTTACGACAACAGCGAGTTGCTTGTGTACCCTAACTTATTGACAGACACGCGTACAATGACCAAAAAACAGTGACAATACATGACAAAGGACAATCGGGCACACAAGACACAACCTAGAAAACACCAGCTGGTGAGAGACGAGACCATAAAACTGAGTTCATAAATTAAACTAATGATGTGAATATGTATCGAGAAGGTGAGCTTTCAGATTTTAACAAATATAGAGGAGAGAAAAGCTTAGTGCATAATAATCTTGCATGACACCGTCTCTTAAAGGCTTCTCACTGTTTTAAAAATGTTCAGGAACTTGTACAATTTTCAGATTGCACCTTAAACCATGGATTGATGCTTGATACATAGCTCAAGCAAAGCACAGCAGACACTACTAGGGCACTCAATGTTTCTGAAGTCAATTTCAATTACAAAACCATTTTGTCATGGTACAGACAGTGCTTACACAAGGGATCTGAAGGAACAGAAACTATCTCAGCAGAAAAATAATGTGTGCTATCTTTATAATTTGCTGTAAGGAAACTAGTTCAGGCTCATATGGCTGTAGCAATGTACAAGACGTCTTGGAGTGACACAAACTTTGAGTTTTACTTACGCCGCTTCTCTGTAACCACTTGGTATTCCTTCTTCATTTGACTGTCAATAATTAATCAATTGATGCTTGAACAATTGGACCGGTTGAAAAGTGCAGTGGGCTTTTCAGTATTGTCAACACATGATTTAACATTTCATACAACATGTGATGTTTATCAGGGGTGTGAAATCTCAGCTTTTTAGCTGATTTCAGCTTTTTTTGTTTTGGATTTCAGCTTTTTCTCCTCACTTGCTGTGTACAAAAGTATAGGAGATTTCCAAAATTCAGCTTTTTTACACCCTTTTCAGCTGTTTTCAGCTATTTTTATCAGTGGTCACTCACACCCCTGGTTTATGCAAGTTTTATCAGCACTAGCAGAGATGATGCATTGTATAACCCACTCAACAAACATTTAAAGTCACGTGTCAAGTCAAAATTCCAAAACTCAATAATGTGATGCATGTTCACCCAAACAGATAATGACAAGACCAATGCTGCGCAGACGTCGCAAACGAGAGATGATTCCTATCTCCTTGATGCCCGTCACCAGGACAACGGCACTCCTCTCCAGGGCAACACAGCCAGTGCGTTGACCTCTGCCAGCGGCAACACGTTGCAGCTTATCAGCCAGTCCTGCCCCACGTCGCCCACGGATTTCATTTTCAAAAGTAATTCTTTAAGTGCAAATCCGGGGGAGAGGGGGGGGGGGGGATGTGGGATATGTCATCAGAGTATTCCTAAAGAGACAAAAGTCAAATCCCTTTCAACTCTTAATTTGTCTCCTTGTGAAAACAGCAAAAACAGTTGCATTGTGTTTTAGCACCCCAAAATAGTGATACTGAAAATTCTAAGCTGGCATCATGTCAGTTCTTTACATTCTCCTGGAATATAAGAGTGGCCACTCTTATATACATGTAGGTTTATATTGATTTTTCCAAATGACACTAAATGAATTTCTTTGGACCATCAAGGTTTGAGATTTCCAGACATTGTTCCTAGGATAATTAAAAAAGCAGACAAGATGCCTGAGCATACACAATTGACCTCATGATTTATTCATGTCACAATTAACCTTTGACCTTTCAGGGAGTACATCCAGTGAAGGAGTGGACAGTTTCGCCAGCCCGGGGGACATACTCAACCCCAACGAGGTGGAGATGACCCAACGACTGGCCGAACTCCAGCGGAAATATCAGGAGAAGAAACGGGAGCTGGACAAGCTACAACGCAAGAAAGATAAAAAGTATGTACAGTCCGATGCTCGGCCTGGCAATGAACAGCTATAACAAGCATTAATATGAGTTTCTGATAACATTTAGAAGACAAGGAGTGTGTGCTGAGTGAAAGGAGGGTCATGGAGCTTCTAAACAAAAAATCTTGCTTAGAAAATGTATGTGCTAAGCAAAAGTCAGCCAAGTACCCGTCACAAAAAGCATATTTCGCATGACTTTTCCGGTTGGTAACCTAATTTTGCTCAGCAAATATTTTTGGTGCTTAGCCAGTTTCTGTGCTTGGAAGCTCCATGTAATTGGTTCCTTGCCTCCTGACTTATTTCGTGCTCTTGTTTAACTAGTTTTCCCTTTTTAATCTTTGGTTTCAATGTCATGTACTTGCATCCGTGGATTTTCTGTTTTCCTCTAGTAATGAGACAGCCGGATCTGTTAATTCACAACAGTGCGGAAAAGTTCTTGACGTGCTCCCTCACTCCCCCTTCCCCAATTCAGATATCCCATGCTGAAACAAGTCTGTGAGCAAATATTCAAAAAAATCTTGCCAGACTTGTCGAAACATTCAGCTAGACGTATCCGCCAAATTTGTCTAGTATATTTCTGTCTGTCGGAAGTGCATACTTTGAAATTGTGTCTGTATGACTGTCTTTCTCTGGAAGGTTTTTTGCAGGCGTGCAACTTTTCCTCGGATCTGCTGATTTCCTCGTTTTTTACTTTCTTGAATGCCTTTACAAATTGAAAAATACTGTACAGAGTCTTGTGTGGTTTGGAATTTTCCCGTTTTTTCCCTAAATTCCCAGTTTCATGCCTGCTTTTGACTATAAACCTGTGGTAATTTCAGTGTCTTAGCCGAGTCCATCACAAGTCCAGTCACAAGTCCGGTCACAAGTGAATCTTAAGTGAATTCACAAGTCTGATCATAAGTAAGTCACAAGTTAGTTAACACGTCTGGACACAAGTAAATCAGAAACGAATTCACAAGGCAGGTCACAAGTCACAGAGAAAGACAAATAACAAAGGAATGCCTTTGTCACAGTTCGTTTGACTAGCTTGTGGCTTGACTTGGGACAGGTTGACTTGTGAGGACTGTGAGGACTTGTGAGGACTTGATAGGGACTTGTGATTGACTTGTGAGAACTTGTGAGGACTTGTGAGGACTTGTGATGGACTTGTGAGGACTTGTGATGGACTTGTGAGGACTTGTGATGGACTTGTGAGGACTTGTAATACACTTGTGTTGGACTTGTGAGGACATGTGAGGATTTCTGTTGGACTTGTGAGGACTTGTGAGGACTTGTGAAGACTTGTGAGGACTTGTGATGGACTTGTGAGAACTTGTATGGACTTGTGATGGACTTACCTACAACACTGCTCCATGTTTGCTAGATAATGACTTGCAGGCGAGGGCAAAGTGAGAACCTTCCTCGGCAGTGCACAAAAGCTATGTGGCAACTCAAGCATTTCGGGTAGTGAGAGTCTACCTACATAGCGTTTCGCCAAATATTCATTGTTGAGCTTAAAAGAATGGAAACTGGTCACCTTGTCCCTCGTCTAGTGTCGATTCCAGAATCTTGCATAAGCCTTTACTCTGGTTATACTCCTGATGTTTCCTTCTTATCAGTAGTGGCAGTTTGTCTCGTTACAACCCAAAACACATGGCCCACAGGAAGCCAAGGTCAATCGCAGGAAATGAGCAAAAGAGCGGCAAACGTGCATTAGACGCGACGTGACAGTCCGCACGGTGGTCGACAAAAGTCGGTTGTAGTTTTTGACTGGCCCGTGCCGAGCCGACCTGACTAGAGAAGCATGGGCACCACCTGGATGGGAACCAGCTAATCAATGCCACATCCAGGATGTTCAAAATTGCTACAAGATTACAATCGCTTGGAACGAGCGAGGCTCGTGGCTTCCCCAGAATCGCAAACGTGCTGAAACGTTGCTTCTCCTTTTTTTGTGCACGCTGGTGACTGCATGTGTGTGTGTGTGTTTTTGAGTTTATTGATAGTGACAACATGATGCATTGTTTGGCATTTGATGCGCATTACGGCACGTCCGCCCGAGTCGACAGGATGAACTTTGGGGAAAACAAGACTCGTATATTTGGTGAAATCTTTGACTGACTGATCCAATCATAACCCTGTCAGGTTCAATCATAGGGGTGATTAGAAACGGAGGATCTTTATCCATCGGGGCCGTTGGAAAACTTATGATATAATAGCTCGGGGAAAAAAAATGTGGTTTCATTTTTGGAATCCGGTCTGAAAGTGCAACTCTTTGGAACTGTCCCACGAGGACAAGTAAAGTAGGTCGTGTACCACGTATTGTTTATGTCCCGAGACATAATTTTTTTTTTTAAGCATGCATAACCTGTACAGATGAAGGAAATTCTGATAATTTTAGAACGAGGTAGAAATGGACAATGAGCTCCAACTGAATACAGTGGGTCACAGCACCAGTTCTAGTCCGTGTTAAAACTTTTCCTCACACAATAATTTGTCAGCAGTCATAACATGTGGGAAAAAGGAAATCATGACGATTTCAGAACAAGTTACAAATTAACAATTAGCTTCTAGTTGTATTCATTTTTTAAACGGTGTTAGGCTTTTAATGTTTATCTCAGGAAAAGGGGATTTTTAGCACCTTATGGGCGACACACGAACTATCGATATGGCAAGAGGGTGTTTTACAAAACATGAGGAAAAATTGTTGAACAAAATCGTTGGAAAATTGTGAATTTGTTACTTGTTTGGACTAGTGTTCTCTTTGTACTTACCGGTACCTCACTACATGACTCACTGACTGTCCCTTGTGACGTAATAATAATAATACCGGAGTCTTATATAGCGCACGTATCTACCAACAATTAGGTACTCAAGGCGCTGGAAATTATGTCTACATGTATTATTAAAAACAGGCAAATGAAGTACATGAAAAATATGAGAACCATTATGTAGCACCTTTATAATGGTTTACAAGGTGCTGCGGCGCATTAAGCAGTCACTGCCAGAAACACCGGGGCCAACCCCTTCTCTTAACGATAAGTGTTACTAGGTTCTTTAACGTGTATTACACAAAACACGGGACCTACGGCTTTACGTCCCATCCGAAGGATGAAGCAATAATGGTAAAGCGTCTTGCTCAGGAGCTCAAGCACCATGTTCCCACGGTCAGGATTCGAACTCATGTACCACAGCACAAGAGTCGTACGCTGTAACCATTGGACCACAACACCCCAGACTAGGTGTTGACTGGTGTAGAGAGCCTGGCAGTGCTATTGTATAGGTTACCTTGTAACAGTAACGAATGGGCTAAATCTGGCCCATTGTGTAGACCAGATACATGAAAAGACTTTCCAGTGAACAGCCGTTTTGAATGAATTGAAAGGAATTTGTGTTTTCCGGAACAAGCTGTACTAACCTTGCAGGTAGTCTTATTTGTAGTTTAGCCCCGTACCCCACCACATCAACTTTTTTGGCTCCTCCCTTGAAAGTGAAAAGCGAAAGCCCGGTAACTTGTTTGTCCCAGTGTTTTGTCTGAAGTAATTTGAAGTCACTCCGCTCTCTTTGAAGGGACAAGGGCTCGAGAAGCCTGGACCAAGACAGGCGACGGGGCCCGGGCCGACCGAGAAAACGCAAAATCAGTAAAGAGTCCCACCAAGAAAGCGGCCCATGGTAAATTCTTGCCCTCATCTGCATGTGTATGTGGGTTCTACGTCCGTTATATCACGTGCAGTCCTGTCAATGTTGTCAGTGTGTTTAATGCAGGATGTAGGTTTTTAGGTGTAAAAGAAGAGAAATCAAATCCAAATTTGTTATATACTGTCAATTTTTAAAAAACAGAATAATAAAAACATCAAATTAATACCAAAAATTAACCTTTTAAAAAATAACCTTTTGGTTTGAATTTATGTTTTGACTATTTCAGTCCTAATGTTTTGGCATAATAATACTTTTCTTTAACCTTAATGGCTTGTAGTAACAGATGTCTATTAGAAGTGGCTGTGACTGCCACCTCCATAGGGGCATGTGTAATTACAAGCCATAGCCTAGTAGTTACTACACGGCATTAGCCATGCATAATGTTTAATCCAAAAAGACCAAATTTATGTTCAGAATAAAAAAAATTTTAAAAAGGGAAAACCTCGCTAATGATTTTACAGACATATTTCTACCAATTCATGGATTCATTAAGTTTGTCTGTCTGTTCTTTCTGAGCTGTGAAATGATTGGCAGTATATCAAATTTGGATTTTGGAATAGTGGAATGGTTTGCCTTGCCAGACAAAATATTCACGAAGATCTGTATTGATTTTAATTTTTCCTCATTTTTTCGCACCCCCAGTCCCATCATCAAGTCATCGACGGCTGTCCTCCTGGAAGCAGCTGCATCTCTTGAGGAGAGCTCCCCGTTCCTGGTTCCCAAGAAGAAAAAGAAGAAAGACCGGGAGGACAAAGAGAAGGGAAAGACGGAAGACAAGAAGAAGAGCAGCAAGAAGGACAAAGAGGCCAAGGCGGGGCACAGTGAGGTGGGTATCCATCAGAGTAAAGGCACTTACAAAGAATAGGGCACGGAAAATATGTGACCAAACCCAATAAAAGGAGTCAGTAGGGCTGTGCATCAGAACCAGCTACCCGAGTACCCAACTGCTGATGTCAGAAACTGGTCCCAGAAATGGAATCGAGTACCCATAAGCAACTTTATGTATAACTTTTTAGTGACTTCTCAGACAATGAAAAAGAAAGGTTTTGAATGTTATTTGTGGAGAATTTTCAAAATGAAAACCAGGCTACACAGAAAAACAGATTAACGTTAATGACGCTTACGAAAAATGCAATTCACACCGTAAATCTACATGTATTGCGCTTACTGTACACACTTGCATCTTGCTGTATTGACGCACCAATGTGTGACCTTTATGCACAATCTGAACAGCTTCTTTTGAGACTTTAAATAACTTTTCGACCTAACGGAATTGAAACCAGCTGTAAAATCCACTAGCCATTAGCATGCCTCAGTTGTAGCAAAACATAAAAATTAACAGTCATTACTCATCCAAAATAAGAATGCTCTGGTAGCATCGAAATCCCCTTGTTTGTAGAAAGAGCTGAGGATGCTGACATTGTTTTTCATCTAGCAGAAGCCAAACATTGAGGTTTTTGCCAATAGTGAATTAACTCTTGTTTCATTTTCATGATAAAGTTGCAACAAACTCAGGTTCCGTTATTTTGATCTCCATGTATCAGACATCCAAATCCAAGAAGAGAAAGCACAAGTCAAAGGAGGACGTCCAGGACTCGTCACCAACATCTGAGGACGTTTCCTCCTCATCGTCAGGAGGCAAATCGAAATCCAAGTCCAAATCGAAATCCAAGTCCTCGCCTAGTCTGTCTCCTTCTTCCAAGGACACCAACAAACAGAAAGGTGAGTTCAGTTTGCTTCCCTGAATTTAAAAAAAGGGCGTCGCCAACCTTTCAAAAACTGTTCTCTCAAACTAAGGAGTTTGACCAAAGACCATCTGTCAAATAGCTGTTGACATATGACTTAATTTAAGCCTTTATCTATTTAGTTTCATTCCAGATTATTACCAGCTTTGATCACTTTGATAAGTTTTTAACAAGATGATATTCCCATCTTTAAATTGATCGTAATGTTACTGCGGCAAAGACAGAAGATTTGCTTTTTTTTGCTCTTTTCTCAACAAATTACAACAGTTTTTTATTCTCATAAAATTCGTCAATGCGATTGAAGAAAGCTGTTTGCTTGACAACACAAATTTGCTCAGAGATATAGCAGGCACATGGCTAAAAAAAAATACGGGCACTGGCTCTGTCAGAGCTTCGACACAGAACTTTGCAATTAAGGCCCTGTCGGTGCCTTGCACAACCTATTAGCTGTAAGGTGGTAGTGCAAGGTGTAAACGCGCTCTCGAGAATTGCGTCGAGGACACGGCTTGAAAAGTTTTCACACCTCAAAAGTAACAAGTCATTGTAAGCATTAATCATCGTGCCATTGCACGAGCACGCAAAGCCGGCCTTGCGGACCTGTTGCTGGAAGTCAAGCGCAGTTACCCACCTGTGAATGTCGCCCCCAACTCCTTGTTGATTTACGCAGCGTGCCGTACCACGACGCGCAGCGCCTCGTGCCTGCAGGGGTTGCCTCGAACATGATTCCCTTCAACAGTTCTGATCTCCCTGGTGCTTTTGCTTTTGCGTCGCACAATACAGTGCACCTGGACATCACTCAACACCTGTAGTCCGAGGGTTGATTGTTCGTATCCTTTGCGTGACACCTGTACTTTCGGCGGCAAGAGCGTCCCCCCCCCCCCCATCCCCCCAATCCAACCTTGTCACGTCAGGAAACTCACTGTCCCAGCTTGCATTTTAGCCTATGGATACAGGGGAATTACATGTATATGTCACCTGCAAAAGAAGCGTTCACGGATCATTTTACCGAGCAGCTAAAAACAGAATTTGGCAATCGCAAGTAGAAAAAAAACTTGCTCAGCCGAAATAGGTTACCAACCCAATTTTTATTTAATGAATATTGCCATGGCATAGGTTCCAGTGGTGGATCCAGGCTTTGGGTTTGGGGAGGGGGGGGGGGATAAGCCATTGCAGATAACGAATAAATGACTAATGGCCTGAAAGCAAAGAATCAACATTTGCAACACAGTAAACTCACGATAACTCAAACTTTGATAGCTTAAATCGCCATATAAGTAACACTTCATTCCCGTCAAGAGAATAGGATTTTATGTACATGAATAACTCGTAATATACAAATAGTGAGTGGATCAGCGTGGAATGGGAGGAATATTATCGCAAGGTAAAATCTGGACTTTTCCATTTCACGAGGCAAAGCTGAATGAACTGGAAAAGTCCAGATTTTACCAAGCGATAATATTCCTCCCATTTCACAATTGAAAGCCACTCAATATTTGTTTTATATAACTGACATATAGATCCTTGTCATCTGATATATTTGAACTTTTATTTCAATACAAAATTAGTGAAAAATGTATTTCTCTCTTCCAAACCACCTCTTCACGAAAATGTTTGAACCCAACGCTGTAGCGCTGGCTCCTTGAAACAATACGCGCAACGCTGAACGCGCACACCAGCATGCATTTGCACACAAATACCGCGTCATGGAACAAGACTGATCCTAACTGTTCAATAGTATTTCCCATTCCCCATGGGCGGATAGTACTTTTTGAGCCCCGGCGTGAATGGCAGTGATAACGAATGACTTGTGATTTGAGTTCCACCAATCAAATGACGAGGATCTGTATGTCGGTTATATAACTCGAAATACCCACACTGGTACCTCCATTTAGTTCGAAGTTTTGTTCAGCCAGTCCAAAGAAAACGCTGTCGCAACAGTCACAAAGAAGTGTAGAAAAAACGTGAATATTGTTTTCATGAGTCATTACTGCCCAATCCCCGTGCATGCTGCCATTGTGATTGGACAAGTCACAATAACCAGCTCTGTAACTGCAATAAGTCCTGGCTTTCGAGTTAGCCTGAGCGCTACTTCTGGCCCAGATGTAGCCTGCATGCCAGCAGCCCAATCAGACCCAATCGCTGGCTCTTTGCGGTGGCCATGTGACCGCACTGCAAACTTGAGGACTTCCCTTGCCTGGCTTTTGAGTTAGCCTGATGGCTGCCACTTGAAAAAGTGAAAAGGCTATGTCGGAGTCATAACACAGTCAATGACTAAATTGCAAAAACATCTTGAAGTGCACTCTAAATTTTACAGGATTGCCAATACACTGTACTACTTGTGGTTAAACCATACCTACTTTAATACATAATCGTTGGTTATTATGGGATACTGCAATTATAGTTTGTAACTTAAAGATAGAGTCCATCATTTGTAATGTGTACATTTTGTTCGTTTGAAGCAACAAAAGTGCTCAAAATCTAAAGAAGGATACTGAACAACTAACCTGATGAGGTTTCAGTTCAGCTTCAGCTGTATATTCCGAGAAAAACAGCATTCTAGGATCTCAATTTCAAATCAAAAGTTGCTGAATCATGTTTTGAATTGGGCCTGAATTCAGCGTCCGAGACACGTTCTCACTGAGCCGATTGCAGCTACGCGATGTCGCGCACTGAACCAACGAATTATAGCAACTGCGCGTGCGTACGCGTCGTGCCAATGCTTGCGCGCTTCGCCGAATTTACAAAAAGAACTTCTAATTTAAATTTCCTACGGTGCGTCTTAAGAAGCACCGTTGGAAAGGCCTTCTTTCGTTGTTTACTTCAAAATGACAGCTTGCCAGAAAAAAATAATTTCACAGGGAGTTTAGTCCCCTTACTATCTTTCAACTAAGTATGTTTTTCAACAATAATTACGCCAGTTAGCTGAAAATGATGGACTATAGCTTTAATGTAACCAGGGTTGTGAAAAGTAAAAAGAAATACAATTTACAACCTAACTTCTCGAAGCCTCCTCGCCTGCCCGCTCTCAAACCCAAGTCTTGGATCTGTTGAAGGTCATACTAAACCACAAACTTTTCCCATCAACTGTTTGAATAATTCAAGTGTGTCATCAGAGAGGAAGTCGAGGCCCCCTTGGGCCAATAAGAAGCGGAAGTTGTGGTTTTTAATGGTAGTTTCAAGACAGAAGTGTAGTTTCCCCAAGGGAAAATTGCCCACAGAGACACAGGAGGAAGCTTAATGCTCAGAATATGTGCTACTCAGCTAGTGTGTGTTTAGTTGCTTAATCTGATGTTGTGATTCTCTTTTTGCATCATGGAGAGTTTGGAGACCTTGTACATGTTTTGAATAAAGTTGGGAGGAGTAGTTTTTCGACAACTTCCTTTATGGGTCTATGAGTTATTGAGGTTTAGGGCATTGGCAACAGTAAATTAAAAGAAAGAGGTCATAGCCAAACAAAAAACATACTCTGGATTTTTTTTTTCTGCTTCAAAACCTTTTGTAGCTTTAAGAATCAGGTCGTGCCGTAGTTTCAGTTTCAGGTGTTGTTTTTGTTTCTGGCCAAGTCAACAACCGTCACTGATTGAAAGTGCACTCCATTCTTCTAACATCTGAGGTACATTGTTGCCTGGAGCCTTTCTGACTCCTTAAAAATCCTCCACTGTGCAGGAACCCACAAGCACGTTCTTTGAAGATAAACTTTCGAGGGGAATCAAGCATGGGCACAAAATAAGCCAATTTGGTATTTGAACTGTGCATGTGTTGAATATAGTGGGTCATTGGTTACTCGGGATAAACATAAATAGTGATCTCTAAGACAACAAAGACGTATTGGTTCTTTGTGGTACTTTCTGCAATTAATTTTGGTTAGTGCCACATTTAACAAGTTTTAAGGTAAGCAGCAACCTTTGATTTATGTCCGTCATCGGATGTCTATACTACTTCATCTTGTGAGAACGAAGCACCGAATAGGCTTGAGCTTGATTACCAGTGGCTGGGCGCTACCTTCCACAATCCAGCCAACCGAAATCCAAAACCTCCCGGTCGGTTTTAAAGCATCAAGGAGAGTAAGGGATAATGCCCATTCCGACAACATCCCAAAACATTACTTTACAATGAGAGAGGCTCCTTATTCATCCGTATGAATGGAGTCAGGTTTGCCTGGTGAGTCAGGTTGGTGTAGCGGTACTTTCTTCACCTTCCATCGCTGTGACCCGGGTTCAGATCCCGCCTGGGCCAACATGTGGATTGGTTTTCAGTCCCTACCTGATTTTGTTGGTTTTCCCCGGAATATTCTTCTGGGATTTTCCTCTCACCTCTAAAACTGTAATTTCTTCTCATTGTCTCCTCTCTAGGGTTTCTTCAATCTTGCGAGCTACAGCGCCTGGGGCGCTTTGGAGGAATCCTTGGTTTCATTACCAGAAATAAATAAATGTTCCTGTTTCTTTCCCTGTTGTCTTGCCACAGCCTCATCCAAGTCTAGGAAGGTGTCTCTGACCGACTCTGCAAGCAGCGACTCTCTGGCCAAGTCGGGCAAGTCACCCAAGACATCGGGATCGATCAGGAGTCCCCGCAGTCAGAACAGCTCTACAGAATTTGGTATGAATTACCAAGACAATTATGCGCTCCTTAAAAGATTCCTAACGTCTACTGACATGAGACAAAGGGTTTTTTAAGTTTCAGTGTCACCATTCTGCAGTAATAAACAGCTGAACAGAATATGGTATGAAACCATACAATTGCAAACCCCTTACAATGTTTTTGATATTAATTGGTACGAGACAAAAAGGCTTTTTTGAAGTGTCTGAACCCATTGAGTTTATGATTTCCTTCTGTGAAAAACTTTCTTTCCAAATTGTGAAATGTTGGCAAGGTGATATGCTAACAATGGAAACTTTATATAATTCTCTAGGCTACATAGAATAGTCTAGAATTGTTATGCACTTGTGATCAATCACGATAGGGTCCCATCGTATGATATCAAAGTACCACGTGGCCATCTGGTTTCCCTGCAATCGGCTGCTATTGCAGTAGCCAAGCGTTTTGGTTAGCAACCAAGTAGGACTTTTTTTTCACTTATAATAACTGAATTCTTTTATCAAATGGCAAAATGGCCACTACCTGTACTGTGTACGGTTGTCATATTTTTGCCAACCCAGCAGTGGGTGTTGGATCGGTGATCTCAGAGTTTTTGTCATCCATCACAGCTTTGAAGGCTTGCCAACTTAGTAACCAACAGTGCGCGAAGCTATTACAATCTTTGCCTACTACAGGTTGAGCAAAAAAATGCATCTCAAATGGCAGGATGAATTTTGGATTGAAGTTTTGCCTGTAGCACTTTCAAAATCTAGGATATGAAAGCCTAGTCATTAAGCTTTCTTTTAGTACAAGAATCATTCAAATTACTCATGTACTTTTCAAATTACGGCATTTTGAACACAGACATCGTTTTAAAGTTCTGTTCCACAGAGTTTTCAAAAAAAGTAAGTGTTCTTTCAGCAAAACAAAAACAATTCTCATAGGGATGCATGTGAATTGTTTAAGAACACGTACCTTTTTTGTGATCAGTGGAATGAACTTTAAAACGGCGTTTGTGTTCAAAATGCCGTACTTATCTTGTACTAAAAGAAAGCTGATTAATTTGGCTTTCTTGTCCTAAATTTTGAAAGTGCTTCAGGCAAACCTTCATTCAAAAATTGGTCCTGCCATTTGGGATGCATTTTTTTTTTACTCAGCCTGTACAGTGACGCCATTGGTGATTTTCTGGTACCCGGATGTTTGTAGGCTGGGTGAGATGGGTCAGTAGAGATATCTATTACATCATCAAAAATATTGCTTACTTATTATTTAATTATTAATTATTATTTTGTTACAGATACAGATAGCAGCAGCATCATCTGGCCGAGCACATCCACCACTGCCTCCACCTCCTCCAAAATCCCAGCCACCAAATCCAAATCCAAAAGCTCCAAGAAGAAGACCAAGGAGGCCAAGGTCAAAGATGGCAAGAAGGATGGGGCTAAAAGTCAGGGGTCAAGCGACCCAGCAGAGGATGCCACCATGGAGGCAATTGAGAACGTCATCCGCAAGTCTTGTGACGGTCAGGGAAGCAGCGAGAAGGAACCGGCCAGAAGCGGGCCACTGCAGCATGCATTGCATATATACGGTAGGAAAACTCGTTTCTCATCCTTTGAAGACAGGAATTAATTTGAAAGCAGTAGGGGCCGATAAATATGCTTACACTTTGGTATGCTTGGATATTTTTTATTGTAAGTTAAAAAACAAACGTAAAGTCCGTCACAAGCCAATGTGGCCCATCAGCCGGCGTTTATCTCCGGTTTCAGTAGCATGAAATGACTGAGAATATTTCCAGTCCCCCTGGATGGGATGCTAGTCCATCGCAGATTAATCCCAGCTAACGCCGTTACCCATTTATACTCCTGGGTGGAGAGATGCAAGTTGGGGAGAAGTGGCTGCTCAAGAACAACATCTGACCAGCAGCTGGATTTGAACCCCTGCCCTCTGATCATGAGTCACGAACCCTTACCACTAGGCCACACTCCATCACTATTTTAAGTAAATTTTGCTTAAAATCCTCTGTGCTTACTGCTTAATAAGATCTTGAGGAAATTCACATAGAAAGCCATATTTCCAGTGCGTTGTTAAATTAACAGCAAGGTTTGATATTCAAAGATAATTGGCATTAAGAAGTTTTAAATTTCTTCATAATATTCTTCATAATATAATTACCTCATAATGGGTAATATTTGGGCTTGAACCATGTTAGACAACTATATGTCCAGTGAAACCTAATGACACTGGCCCTTGGCTCTGAACAGTTTCACAAGCTTGAGAAATCTGTGAGCTCCTTGTAAACTTTTCACGACTTTGTGTCTTTGACAAAGCAGAGGATGACAGCGACTCACCCTGGGAGACCGCCATGATAGACGCCAAGCAGAAGAAGAACTCTGGCCACGCCCAACAGAAGGGTCTAGCCCTCCTGGCTGGCATCTCATCCCAGGAACTCATGAAGAGCGCCAGGCCCTCCAAGGAGAGCAAGACCTCCTCGGGCAAGGATGCGGGAGATGGGAAGACGACTGATGCCGACAAGTCCAAGAAGAAATCGGGCAAGACCAAGAAACGGAGCATCTCCCCTGCAACATCTGAACAAGGTTCGTCCCTTGTCGCATCCACACTGCTGTTTGTCGTACTCACATTTTCTCAAGATGATGGTTAGACCTTTACCAACTGAACTGTGGAGTTAACGGCTGTGGTTCTTTCCAAAACTTTTTCTCCCAAGTCACATGGATGTGTTTGTCCTGTGTTCAAAGTTTTGACTGCTGATACTCTGTACTGAAATTTTCTGAAGAAGTGCACAGTAAATGTTTTGCCTTTTAAATAAAAATATTATACAATGTGTAGAGTGTGTAGAGATAAATTTTAAGCATTTAATATTTATTCTTTTAGGTTTTATTGAATTTATTTTCAGTAAAGTTTATCTCTCATTCAAGGATTGGCTGATTATCTTTCAGGAACACCCAAGAAAGCAAGAAAGATGTCACCAGTAGTTTTTAAGAAGGAGAAGGACTTTGAATCGCCAAGCAAATTGCCCAAGTCTACCAAGTCAGTCAAAAAGAAAGAAAAGACCCCCAGCGAGCCAACACCCAGGTCGACCAGCGTCGTCAAACAGGAAAAGAAGGATCTTGAGGAGAAACCTTTCTTCAATGAGGAGATCTGGACCCGAAGACGAAGTGAGAGGATCTTCCTGAGTGACATCAGCCCTGGGGCGTCCCGCGATGCCAGTCCACTGGCCAAAGGTCATGATGTTGCCAAGACACCCAAGAAGGTCGGTGGCCCGCCTGCCAAGCCCAAGGGTCAGTCTGAGAGCAGCGGTGGGGAGCAGGGAGCCGGCAGCGACCACAGCAGTACTGCCAACATTGGGAGTGTCCTAGACGCGCTGAAGACGGACACGCTGCAGATCCGCAAGAAACTGGCCAGCATGTCTGCGCAGGAAGATGAAAAGGATGATGTGCCAAGAAAGACTAAGAAGAAACTGTCCAAGAAGCGAGATCAGGGCAAGAAATCCAGCAGTAAGCAAGATGGGAAGACTGACTCTGGAAGGTCCAAACACAATGATGACATTCTGGATAGCAGCTGCAGTGAGGCTGAAAACCTGCCACTCAGTAATTTCCTGGATCGCCAGAATCCACCACCTCCTCGATCATGCATCATCAATAAAGATGAGCTCCAGAATGGTTTAAGAGTCCTCATCCCGATTGATGGACTTTTTTATGCTGGTAATGTCAATGCCATTCAACCGCCTGACGTTTACGGTGTCATCTTGGATGGCGAGCGTGGTAGCAGACCTCATGTCTTCTCACAAGAGCAGATGCTGCAAGAGACTTTTGTCGATGTCAAGCCACTCTCAACTCGCTTTGTTCCAGAGGGCACTAGAGTCTGCGCCTACTGGAGCCAACAGTTCCGCTGCCTGTACCCGGGCACCGTTGTGAAGGGCACGCCCAATCCTAACGAGGACCCAAATTTTGTCTGTGTGGAGTTTGATGACGGAGACTCGGGTAGGATTCCCGTGGATCACATCCGGATGCTCCCGCAAGACTTCCCCATCGTCGAATTTGAACCCATTCCGGCCGAGCTCCAGCGGAAAAGGAGACGTCGCACATCGGATACCAGCTGCTCAACTAGTTACAAACTGGAAAAAGGGGACACAGATGAAGGTACCACTGCCAGCAAATCCAAGACCAGCTCACCCAAGAAAAAGTCAAAGATGACCGAATCCAACAAATCTGCTGCCGATCAGCATGAAATGGACAGAATCTCAGAGTCGGGTGAGGATGATGTCTTTCTACCACAAACTCAGAAGGTTCAGAGCAAGAGCAAAAAGTCCAAAAGCCACGACAAATCCAAGAAGTCATCCAGCAAGGTGGATTCTAAACTCAAAGAGAAGAAGAAGAAGAAAAAGAGGAAGAGAGAGGAAAGGAGGCAAGAGTCTGGCGATCGTAAGAGCTCCAAGCGTTCCTCCAGCAAGAGTCCCCGCCGAAGCCCTGCCAGGAGCCCCTCAAGAAGCCCAGGTAAATCCAAGAAAAAGAAGAGGAAGGAAGACCGCAAGAAGAAGAGCTCGTCCAAGCTTAGTTCCTCCAATGGCGACTCCTCTCCGAAGTCCAAATCCTCCAAGAAGAAGTCATCTTCATCCAGCAACAAGAGGAAGTCCCACCGCGACGATCGGCACAGCAGTTTCTGCACGGTGGAGACGGAGACTGTCTACTCCACCCATCCCATCAACGGTTCCCAAGTCTTAACTGAGGAGGAATCTGCTTCTGAGACGCCGACCTTCGACAATGGGAAAGGAGTCTGGAACAAACACCGGGATACCAGAGATCACAGCCTGGATGATTGGAGCTCCACAGACAGTAGCAAGGACTCAAGCAGCGACAGTGATGAAACAAGCTCCGACAGCTTGAGCAGCAAGGTAAGTTTCCGGATTTTTTCCCCAACAATCAGCATCTGAGACCCAACCAAACAAATTGAGTCTGATATAGCCAGAGTTTCATTTGCGATACACACCCTGAACAAATCTTGCAGTGGAAATGCATAGAAAATGTTGCTTTTTTCACCCACAATATTGTCCACATTCGTCAGGAGGTCACACTGAATGATATATCAAAATGGGCATGATCTTTGTATATTCGAACCTGTTATCTGTAAGACTCATTCTATGGGATCTGGTCACTTTCATATATAGCACTAATTGAATCATTTTTTTACCCCTGAAGCCCCATCATCCTTTTCAGCACTAAAAGCTTTTCAAACAGTTTTCCTCCAGTTCCCACAGATTTGAGCACATGCCCCCACTATCCGGGATATTAAAGGGGCAGAATCTGAAACTGCCCTAAAATAATCTATTCATTCTGAGAAAAGAGAAGTAATTGCAGTAAAGTCCCCTTCTTAAGGACACACCCATGATCCCCAAGCCAGGTTAAAGGGAATATACAACATTTGCAAACATCAAAAAACAAAACTACCAAATTATTATGAAACAGATTACTTGACTTGAAGTGAATGATAGTCTCAAGCATCCTGTGAAATCATGGCACCTGGTGTGCTGTCATTTTCAAGAAAAGTGAAATTTTTGTATCAATTTCAACGATGGTAACTGACTTTTCTTCAAATACTGCCCCCAACTTAACAAATTTAGTTTTATTTGCAATCATTACATATCCGTGAACAAGTACAGGTGCAAGCCAGCTAGTCTGGTTCCCTGACCTGACAATTCCCCAACCTCTTTAAAATGCTCTGTTTCATCTGAAGTATGGTCAGGGAACCAGACTACAAATACACCATTTTTTTTCTTGGTTTTTCCAGCATCTATGAACACTAAACTTTAAACAGGTCAGTGTAACAATATTTGCTATAAAATACTGACCCCTAAATCCATCCATTTCTGAAAATTACAGCAAAAGCAAATGTTGAATATTCCCTTTAAAACAGTCGTTTGACAGTGCCGCCACAGCCAATGTTCAATATTACGTAATTGTTCCCTTTAGAATATTCTGCCATTTGTAAGTGTCAATGAAAGTTTATTTTTCATGTTTGGTTTTAACCAACAGGACAACACCCCTCTCACACCGAGCCGCAAGAGCCGGTCCAGCATTCTGCCATCCACTAGCAAGATGACAGGTAGCCCTAGCCCTAGCCCTAGCCCCTGTAATGCAGTAGGTATGCATGGCTTTAATAATACACAGTCACGTCGTCTCCGACATCTCCATCATTCATATCTGCACCACCATCCTGACAAACGTTATTTGCCACCTCTTCCTTGATTTGCTAGAGGATATTATGTATTCTTTCATTTTTTACATCCATTTATAGGGGTTCAATTGTCTATGGGCCTTATCACTGATCTCTATATAAAGACTGGATAGCGGATAAAGAGCCACACAGTGAATGAATTTGACGCCATATTTGTGAGATCGGTGAGATCTACAAAGGACAAGTTGCCGTCTTTATAGACAGCATGATTACTTTTGTAACATCGCGGTTAACTTGACTTATATTTTGACCACCACCACTGACCAAGGTTTGCAATTTCTCTAACGTCGTGGTTTTACTTTTTAATGCCGCAGTTCACTTTTTCGGCGTTTTGGAAATAATAATCACTACGGAAATGTGTCCTATTTAGAACATCATAATATGTGTACGTGACCAAAATGCGCATCAACTGTTGATACAACGCGCGCTGTATATACGCGTAGAACGTTCGTATTATACGCGGCCATCTTCGTGAGACCGGGGGCGAATTGGTCAATATGCAAAGTCTACTGTGTGAATGGTGTATGGATATCTGCTATCCAGTCTTTATATAGAGATCAGTGGGCCTTATTCATGAGTCAGCCATATTGAATTAAGAGTGAGGTAAAATCTTCATATTTGGAACTTGCAAAGAAAAATGAAAGCTATGAAATAAAGTTACAAACTTGGCCTACTCGTGTTCAAAATCCTCCACAACAATGCGCCGGAGTATCTCATCGAGCTCATCCACCCGTACTCAACAGCACGCACCGGACTCCGCTCCAGTGAGCTCATGATGCTTCACGGGTCCAGGACCTCCACTCTTTCTCCTCAAGCGCCATGAGCGCCTTTTTTAGGTGGAAACCGGCGCTTTACAAATGTTTCTTTTATTATTATTATTATTATTATTACACATTATACCAGTCTGCTGTAAATGAATAATTTTAAATTTGTGATTAAACATACCCTAATGTTTTAAGCCACAAAAAATGAAAGTGAGGCTAGAATGTGTAAATAGTCTGGCACCATTCCATTCAACAGTTCACAATGAATAAATACATTCAGGGAACCCGACCAAAATGGCTTTCGCATGAATAAGGCCCATGCTCTGTTCTGCAATTCTTACTCGCACGATAATAATAGCTTGCTGAGTAGCTTGCACCTCTTGCACAGAAAAATTCCCACTAAGAAACTGATCATGGTTAGGACACTAGGGTCACCATCTCATAGCTGCACATAGTTTCAAACCCACCCACATTTACACTTCAAGCTAGTTGATGTGAAATTATTATGACTTAATTAGCCTTGGAGTGAAGCTCAAGGCATATGAGTCAGACATGCTCACAAAATATAAGTTTGGGAAGGGAAAAAGTGTGGTTTGCCAACGCTTTTCACCTTCTTTGTTCTTTGCTGAAGATCAGTCCCAAGCGAGCGATAAGTCGCAATGGCAACAGGCAGAGAGCAGTTTGCTCTCCTCAAAATCCCGGCTTGAGGTCTTCAGGAAAAAGACGTTTAATTAAATTTCCTTGTTCCTCCGCTTTCTTTTTCTTTGTCCAGCCTTTCTGCCTGCTCGACAGCTGTGGAACTGGTTCGGTAAAGCCACCCAGCGCCGTGGGGCTAAAGGAAAGGCTCGCAAAGTCTTCTACCGAGCGATCATGCGGGAAAATGAAATCATAAGGGTAAGTATTTGTGAGTTTCTTCCTTTGAATCGGTATGCGTAATATGGAGTTTACATCTGTGAAGTTTACACAGCGTGTTTTTAATTTGTGTTTTGGACTTCCATTCATAGAGTAGGAACTAGTCATCCGGAGATCTGTTTCTGGTGTCTTGAAATCCTGCTGTTAATTTAGTCTCGAATAGGTCATACTTGTATCTCGTTCTCATCTTGGAATTTGTTTGTTGCGTTGGAACACCAGCCGTTGACAGACTGATTCCAGTGACGACAGACATTCTTAAAGTGCCCCAGGGAAGGGAAAATCTACTTACAGCACCTCAAAACTTACAGCACCTCAATGCAACAGTCTCACTAAAGATTTAAATAAGCTGGTGTTTCCAGTGGATTGTTCCAAGCTGTCCAGGTTTTGAGATCGTTTCTGGCTACTTTTACATGTAAAGATATGTACTGGGTGCTTAAGAAAGCCTGTGAGAACACCTAAACCTACTCTGTCACTGTCAGGATTTAAACTGTAAGGTGACATTGGAATCAGAAATTCAAACACCAAATTGTCACGTATCCTTGTACATGTATGTGGCTGCCACTTAAATTTCACCTGTACTCTTGGGTGAAGGTTTGCAAAATGGGTCATCCTATAAATTTGGGGTCCACTTTTTTTCCCCCGTTACATCTGATCTGACATCTATGATTTTATAATACTGAAACACTACTTAATGCAGTCGTCCTCCAAGAGTGATTATGATTAGCAATGATACTTGAATGGCAAATTACGAAGTACCAAGTTAACATGGACGGAAAAGTGTCACACGTTAGACCCTAAATTTATGGAATGACCAATATGCATAGTGGTTAGGCATAGTGGCTTTATCAAATTGTTTGTGCTCATTCAACATTGTTGGTTCATTGTTGACCTTACATGAATCTGCAATTATGTCTAGTCAGCTATAATGACCAATATATGAATAACATATCCTAAAAATACTGAACACGGATTTATTATTTGATTCTCTGCTTTGCCTTGCCCCAACAGCAAGGAGACGCAGCAGTGTTCCTGTCGACAGGGCGCCCCCACCTGCCGTACATTGGTCGCATCGAGAGCATGTGGGAGTCGTGGGGCGGCAACATGGTGGTGCGCGTCAAGTGGTTCTATCATCCGGAGGAGACCAAAGGGGGGAGGAAGTCACATGATGGCAAGGTAGGAATGACCAGGCTGTGGCCGGTGTTAACACATGTATCTTTGGGAAGTGGTATCAGCCCTTGCCTTACCTTAGCTCCGTTACGAGTCGTTGGGGAGCCATTCTGACAAGCTGCACACCAGTCTGCTTCATCGTTGGCGGTCGTGGGCCAGTGCCTGGGTCGCTGCAAATGGTAGTCCTGTCCACTCCTCAATGTTGTCTGTCCAGCCCTTTCTTTGTCCGTCTCTTCTTTGGCTTTGTCGGTATCAAATGATTGGTGGTGCGCCCTTACATAGGCCTAACCCTTACATGTGTGTCATTGCAAACCATAGAAAAGTCTTTTTGACAGTCTTCTGCAGGACTGGTTTTACTTCAGATAAGGCGGGGGGCTGAACTGCTGACCCCCACCCCCACCCTTAAAATAACATAAAATGAAAAAATGAAAAATACAGAAATACCCTAATAAATTGCCTGGGAGAGGGAGAAATTTTGTCCACACTTACATTTTGTGGAACTTGTCGGAATTATACTGGATTTGTTTTCATGCTGAATTTTCTTGAACATTTGTCAAAATTGTTGTGAACACTGGTCCTTAACATTGTTTACTTAATAAAATGCTTAGAAACTCCCTGCAGTTTATAGCTCAAAATAGAGGACTGACAATTCTCAGAAAGCTGGGCGTCTGGCATCCATGGTTTTTTTTAAAGGCAAACCTCTGAATATATATTAGTGTTAATATCACTATAAATGAAGCAGTGTACAGTACATTCCAGCAACTTATCAATCTTCTACTTGCACACGGCGAGCATAGTATTATAGAAATGAGAAAGTCTGTAGAATACTTGAAACTTTCACAATTGTGCAATTAAATATTCTCCCTTTCACCAACAGATGGCGCTCTACCAATCCCTCCATGTGGATGAGAACGACGTCCAGACTATATCTCACAAGTGCGAGGTGCTCTCTGTGGACGAATACAAACGCTACGCCTCAGGCAAGAAGCACAAGTACACCATGGATTCTGAGGACGTGTACTATCTAGCGGGGACCTATGATCCCACCAGCGGCCACATTACGTCGGTGACTTAGGACATGGTCGTGTCATGGGTAGGGAGCTTGTTTTTGACTTTGAGGACTTTAAATATCACATAGCCATGGTTTACAAAGCAGGGATTTACAATCCCACAAGCGGCCATACCACATTAATGACATTTGGCAAGGGTTTTTCTTTAAAGAAGGGCTTGCCGTGGATGCTTTGGAGTTTTTTATTTGGCAGGTATCTAAAGCCCGTGGAGGGGGACTTGTAGCCCATGCAAGACCTATGGCCCATGCAGGAGGACCTATAGGTCATGTGTTGGGACCATGCTGAGGAGCTAGACCTATGGCCCATGCAGGGGGGGGGGGGGGAGGGGCTTATAGGTCATGTGGAGAGACCTGTAGCCCATGTGTAGGGAACTATGGCCCATGCAGGGGAACTGTAGCCCATGTGTAGAGACCTATGGCCCATGCAGGGGACCTGTAGCCCTTGTGTAGAGACCTATGGCCCAAGCAGAGGGACCTATAGCCCATGCAGGGCACTTGTAGCCCATGTGTAGGCACCTATGGCCCATGCAAGAGGAGACCTATGACCCATGCAGGGGACCTGTAGCTCATGTGTAGGGAACTATGGCCCAAGCAGAGGGACCTATAGCCCATGCAGGCCACTTGTAGCCCATGCGTAGGCACCTATGGCCCATGCAAGATGAGACTTATGACCCATGCAGGGGAACTGTAGCCCATGCGTAGGGACCTATGGCCCATTTAGGGGGGGGGGATCTATAGGCCATGTGTAGGGATCTGTGGCCCATGCTGAGGGACCCATAGCCCATGCAGGAGATTTGTAGCCCACATGTAGGGACCTATTTTGTAAGATGCCTTCTTATTGGGCTAAAGTAATGTTAAAAAAGATTTAAAATCTGGCTTTGTCACCAAAGGAGAAATTGAAGTGCATACAAGCCACGGCAATATGGAAAGGTTGATTTGAGATTTATTAACCAAATTGCATCCCCGTTTTATTGTAAATCATTTTATCAAAATATTTTTTTTAGAAATCAGGTACAAGGTACTTCAAACACCTTAAGATGTGAATTATAAATTTGTCAAAATTATATGGGGAATAAATTGTTTTTTTAAGGCGTTTAGTCCTTTGATATTTTTATGAGATCGACACCACTGTGTTAATTTTACAAAATGATCAAGAGCTGATCTTGAATTTATTGTGGAGATATTTTTATGTAAAGTGCACAAATTGACGGTTTAATGGGCAGATTTAAATTGTGTTTTACGCAAAATGTTTTTGAAACTTGCACTTGTTGTTGTACGCTCATTTTGAGACCAGATTTTTAGATCGTACATGTTTTGAAATCTTTATCATCAAATTTGACGTAAAATGTCATAATTTTATATAATTTTAAATAGATTTTAAGAGCGAGTTTTAAAAGTAAATTTTACTTTACATTGGGATGAGGTTCCACCAGTTTTTTTTCCAAGTTTTTCTCTGTGATTAAAACAGAGTGCAAATGAATGTTAGGTGTTGCAGAAAACCAGACATTTTGGCCTTCAAAAACCATTGGACACAATTTTATTTGCCGAGAAGATAATTATAAATCTATTCATTTCCTTGTTTAAAAAAAAAAAGGAATTTTGTTTTTCTAAGGAGGAAATTAAATCCTCTTTTTTGTGGCCCTTTCGTTGAAATAAACGTATGGAGCCTTTACCAATAACTATCTGTAATTATACCAAATGTTAATATCAGTGTCTGTAATTAACAAAATATGTACAAATAGATGAATATTTTCTGGTGTAAAATGATTTCAAAAAAGGAGGTTTTGATCTATAACTGTATATTTATTTGTACATAATGTGGCGGCCTCTGCATAATAAGAAGAGACATGTAAATACTGTACGTGCTATACATTTTGTTGTGTGTATTAACCCACCTGGTTTCTTGCGAACAGCGATTATTTTTTTTCTCCAATTTTACTGATCAATCCAAATAAAAGTTTGTATTCAGCCCCAATAAGGAGGAAATAATTGTTTGAATTGATAACGATCAGAGATATTCTATCAGAAAATTGATTTTTAAGGTTTAGACAAAGACTTCAAAATTTTTATATAGTTTAACTTTGCTTTGTTTTTCGGGTGTTTTTGCGCCGACTCTACAGGAAAGGTCAAAATTTGATTCAAGATTATTATTTTTTTTTTTTGCGTTGATAACAAGGAAGACAGAAGATAGTTGGTGGGATAGAAAGCACAAAATGAAAAGAACAGTTCCCTTTTACAACTTCCAGCCATTTTGAGGGGGTTATGATAAATCATCTTATGTTAAACTGCCAGAATGTCGACAATTGTAGTTCTTGTTCTCACTGCGAACATGCATGTAACCACATGTAACCACATTAAACAGCTTCTTCAATTGGCTAGATTTAAACCAATCAGCAGATGTGCTTTACAGGCGGACTCCTGATTGGTTGAGTGACATTCATTTATGGATACTGAAGAAAGTTTATGATCGTTAAAAATGATTTATTGAATAGATTGTAAACCTGTTAATTCCTTTTGGACGAATTCCACAAGAATTTTGTTGGATTTTGTCAGATTTTATAATTGGTGGTGTGTTTCGCACAGTGTATTAATGATTATTAAGTAATAATTGCTTCAAATTCAGTTCTTAAAGAATATTTTGATGAGAAGGATGGTTTCAGTATTGGCAGCTGATATATACTAGAACATGTGTTGTGCTCTATTGGAGTTTAAAAAAAAGAAAAGACAAAAATTGTATTTGAGACAAGAAATCCATGTGCGTTGCCATGGCTCCTTGCACCAAATCAAGAAACAGAACAGAATCTGTTTTTATTTTGAATAAATGATTAAAATCTATCAATGTGTGTTTCCTTGTGATCTTTTGTATCTGATAGTGGTCATTTTTTATTACATTACTGGTTGTTTCATTTATTACATTCCTCCCAGAAATTATTACATTACTGGTCAATATATCAACATTACTGGTCGTTTCATGTATTACATTACTGGTCGTTTCATGTATTACATTACTGGTCGTTTCATTTATAACATTACTCCCAGAAATTATTACATTACTGGTCGATATTACATTACTGGTCGTTTCATTTATTACATTACTGGTCGTTTCATTTATTACATTACTGGTCGTTTCATTTATTACATTACTGGTCGTTTCATGTATTACATTACTGGTCGATATTACTACATTACTGGTCGATATTACATTACTGGTCAATTTTTGTTACATTACTGGTCGATATTTATTACATTACTGGACAAGTTTTATTACATTACTGGTCGATATTGCATTACTGGTCATTTTTATTACATTACTGGTAACAGGAACGTCCACAAATTAACAAAATTATAGAAATGTATATCTATTACTGGTCAGTATTATATCACTGGTCATTTTTATTACATTACTGGTCATTTTTATTACATTACTGGTCGATATTACATTACTGGTTGTTTCATTTATTACATTACTGGTCGTTTCATTTATTACATTACTGGTCGTTTCATTTATTACATTACTGGTCGCTTCATGTGTTACTTTACTGGTCGTTTCATTTATTACATTACTGGTCGATATTACTACATTACTGGTCGATATTCATTACATTACTGGACAATTTGTATTACATTACTGGTCGATATTGCATTACTGGTCATTTTTATTACATTACTGGTAACAGGAACGTCCACAAATTAACAAAATTATAGAAATGTATATCTATTACTGGTCAGTATTATATTACTGGTCATTTTTATTACATTCCTGGTCATTTTTTTTACATTCCTGCTCGATATTACATTACTGGTCAATATTACATTTAATACTGGTCGATTTTACATTACTGGTCATTACAGGAACGTCCATAAATGAACAAAATTAAAGAACTGTCATCTAATATATTTCTTAATGTATTTCTAGATATTTTTATCTAGATAATTGTGAAATGCTGAAAATTCTCTTACAAATTAATTGTTTAAAAAATAAGTACAAAAAAGATGTGTGAAAATCAACCAAAGAAGAATATTCCCGGTACATGGATTGAATATAATTCCTTTAATAATCTAATACCTTAATCGCCCCAAATTACAAGAATAACATTTCAGCCAATCAGATGAATCAAACGATCTCGAGCCTTTAACAGCAGCCTATATTATTTTATGACTTAACAGAGGTTTATTTGGGGGGGGGGGGTTGGTAACAATATGAGATTATTTTGCAGAAACGGACGAAAGAATTCAACAATTAATCCAGGATTTAGCTCCAATGCTGCTCATATGCAAACAAAGTTTCATCTTTGAGAATACGCTAGTGCTCAACCACAATTTTGACAAAAACGGCAAGGGGTGACCCTTGACAATTTTCCTGTTTAGAAAAGAAAAACAAGAATGGTTAAATAACTGTATTGCTACGTCATCTTATATGATTTTTGTTGCATCTCTAAAAGACAACAAAACCTTTTTTAAATGTTTATGTACAAATTGGTAAGGTGCACGGGGAAGATAATCACTGCATAGAACATGAACATTACTTCGAAAAGTAGTTTCATTTTATCCCTCAAAGTCGTAAACGTGTATTTTTGAGAAAAATAGCCAAAATAAAAAAGTATATCTTCGTTTTTTACGTGTTTCCCTGCGAAGAAATCGAGCTAAAAGGTGTGGGGGGGGGGGGGGGGGGGGGAATCAACGCCATAGAAAACAATCGCATTGTAACCATCTGAAAGTAAGCTTGTTAACCCTAAAAAGGCCGGGTTATTTTGACCATCTCTCAGCCGGGGGGGAGCGGATTCCCCCCCCCCCCCCCTTAGATCTTGGCCATGGACTATAGGTCAAAGGGTTTTGGAATTATGGCAAATTACTTAATCATATGTACGAATGGTAATTCTGCTCTGTGTACACGATGTATATAGGAAACTATTCAGGTTTCACGGCGCATAACGCCGGGTTTTTTTTACACGACGTATATGGGAAAATTCAGTTTTCGCCGGGAATATTTTTCGCTGCGTTGCGCAACCCGTTGTCCGAATTTTCTTTTTTTTTTGGTATCAAAAGATGCGCAAGGCTCAAGTCATAACAGCTCGGGTCGCCAAAAAAAATCAAGGCTATCGTGGAAAAAGTTGAGGGGGCGGATTCCGCCCCGTCCTTTTTAGGGTTAATATATCTGTTCTAAAAGAAACGTTGATTTATTAAAGAAGTAAGAAAACATGAAGGAATTTAGTGTTTTAAAATAAGGGAATAAATGTGTGCTCGAGAGGTTTTTATCACTCTGTTTAATACCGCTTAGAGTCTGGGTGCTGATAATTACCCGAGCCGGAGGCGAGGGTAATTATCAGCACCCAGACTCTAAGCGGTATTAAACAGAGTGATAAATACCGACCGAGCACATATTTATTCCCATTCATAAATACCTTATCCGTAAAAAAATATCAAATAAATCGTTCAAAAAATCCCGATTTTGTTCAACAAGTTCACTTCATGCTTTTTGAAACATCCCTCTAGCAAAATAATGGAGTGTTCAGCTGGCGATTAAGATGTAAACAACCCTTTTATGGAGATTGACGCGCGCGTAGCATGTTCTGCGCGATGTCACGCAGAACGCACCTGGGACGTTGCGTTTTGAATTTAGAACTATAAAATTCTGACTCGCATGTAGTGTTGCGCATGCCTACGTGAGGATTGTGAACGTTCAACCAATGAAACGGTAAGAGGCACTGGATTTTTAGGAGTCCACATTTTGTTGTGACACTGGAAAAGTGTTTAAGACCAGCTAGCCATGTCTTTATCATCCGTTTAAGACCGGCCACGTGACGGGCTCTCGACCAATAGGAATAGCTAAACTGTCTGAGGTATTTATGAATATAAAATAAAAATTCGTAAGGCACTGAGTGATTTCAAATCATCAATGCATTATCATGAGACACACATTTTTGCCTGTAACTGTGTTTAAAGTGATCATGATGACTGCATGGCAGTGACATCTCAATCGAAATGTCATCAAGAAGATTTTTATTGGATTGGTGGATAATTGTATTGGTGGATATTTTTCACCAACAGATTTTTACGTGTGCATATATAGAGTTCCTGGAACTTTGTCTCGTGTCAACATCGAAGTAAATCAAGTAAAACTTTTTTTTTCTTCAAAGAGTAAAAATTTCAACCTAAAATTCACGCCATCAGATACCGCACCAGTAACAAGACGATTTAGAGTGATTTTATCCAACAGATTAGATCGAACTTCACTCCATTTTCGACTGGAGATTAAAAAAAATGGAATTATTGTCAATCTTAGATCGTCAGATTTTTACGGTGAAAATGAGGGGGGAAAACCCAAAACCATAGATTTCTATACCTTTTACCCTTTAACATGGGCGTCGCCAGGATTTTTTCTAGAGGGGGGCACAATTTGTTTTGCCCCAAAATGCTTGTGTTTCTCAACACATTCTCTATTTATCAGTTTTAGAGGGGGGCAGGGACATTTTGCCCCCCCCCCCCAACTCATTAAATTTACATCACTTTGTCTTCGCGCCTCTTTTTCTTTTCTTTTGTTTCTTTTTTTCTTCCTTTTTTTTTTTTTTTTTTTTTTTTTTTTGCTTTTCCGGGGGGGGGGGGGGGAAGTGCCCCCCCCCTCGCGACGCCCATATGCCCTTGAATACACGCAGATGCCTCATTATGATCGTACACCCCAAAAAAATTGGCCAAAAAAAAAATCCCTACCTACCCTTACCCTATTTTCGAATGCACTGTAATTGGAAGCAATACCATTTGGGGGGGGGCTTAGCATCGAAACCGAGGCTCTCAGCACTAAGCCATTGTATGAATTGAATTCATAATCCTCTTAACAAAAGAGAGCACTGGGGCCCTCGGTTCCAGTGCCAATTTGCAACTCGTTTATAGTCTTGCCTTAGTAGGTCACTACTCTCCGTGTTGATGGCACAGAAAGCCGCAACACCGCGGGACTAATTACGCCCGCTACGGTAGTTAACGTCAACGACCGTTTGTGTGCGTCGCGGGTATATCTGCAGGGTTGGTCCAACGCGGTAGGGCCCTGTCTGTAGGCTACCACCGCGTGGCCCAGATACATCTCGCCGGGGAATCTGCTCAAATCCGCCCGCCGCTGCGTTCCATGCCGGCGGTCCCAGTCAAGCCAGCGTGTCGTACATGGGTTGACTGCCTCGTTTTTCTTTCTTCTTTTTTTTTTAATCGACTCTAGCCCGAGCAAAGAGAATGTGGATCTTTTCAACTTCAAGGGCGCTTGCTCTGGATAAGTTTTTAAAACCCGTGTAAAGGCCTATCGATGAAACATTTTCAGGAGAAAATAAGCAAAATGCCACTGTTAATTATATCAAGGGCGGATCCCGAACAGAATTTTTTTCGGGGGGGGGGGGGTGTTGGTTCCCAAAATGACGGCGTGGGATTCGGGGCCCGCTTAAGGGCCCCAACATGTTGAATTCTAGATCCTTTGTGGTGCGATCTGAGGCTATTTCTGACCACTTTAACCAAATCTTTTGGAGGAAAATATGGTGGTGTACGCAGTGCCTGCCTTTATTGCAACGCCACTTAAAAAAGAAAATGGTTTCGGTTTGTTTGTTTGTTTGTTTTTTTGGGGGGGGGGGGGAGGGGAGGGGGGCATGGCCCCCGTTGGCCCCCGATCCGCCATTGGATTGTATAATGCTTTACATAATATTTATTTAAGCTCATTTCAAGCTAAAAATTTCCATGGATTTTAGTAAATAAAACAAACACTTATTTTTGTCTTAATCTAAGCAAATAGGCCGTGTATTGGTGCACTGCAATCACCAGTACGTGTGCAGAAAAAAACAGCACAGAAATATCTGATATTCGAAAGGGCCGCGGGACAGACATGTTAAACTGCACCACGCGTTCTACCGTCCTGTTTTAAAATGTCACAGGTGCAGTGTTTTTTTTCTCCTTTTTTAAATCACCACCCCAATTTAAATTTCCGGTACAACTTCCTTGCCTAATGTTCTGAGCTTCCCCGCTAAACTCGAGGGGCAATGACACTCGTAGTCAACATGGCACTGCACTTTGCGACCGCGTCGACGGCGGGCCGGCCCTCCCGTGTTCCGGGGCCCGTCACTCTGCGGTGGGGAGCCGCTTTTATACCGAGACCGACTCCGGCAAAAGATCGGGCCCTGTTGGCTCCCGGCAACGCGGCTCAAAGACCCCGGCAGCAGCTCGCTAAAAGCTCCCCTATACGGAGTCATCGTTATTATGATTACAAGCCAACGACAAGTTAATTTCCGCTCAGAATTGTATCAATGGTTTACAGCTGTTGCGAGCGGGGCCAATGATGGGGCACATCAAACATGGTTTCAGCAGGCATCCCGTTGATCCGTTTTCTTGCCGGGACACACCAAACAACGCTCGGTCGTTATGTATACCCTGGTTTATATTATACAAAATTCAATTGAATCGATCAAAATGTGTGGCATTTTGTACGTGAGGAAATTAAGACCGATATTTTCACCGTCGACCAAAATGTCACACTATTGGAAAAAAAAGTCGGCACGAAGCCCTCAAATATTTTGTTTCTCAAACGGTAATACTCTCCCTTGTCATTTTTTTCTTACTTTGACTTTAATGGTTCATGTAGGCCTAGTATCATTAGCACAAAATTACAGTAGTTGAAGGCAAAAAAGGTCTTTCAGATACATGTAATAGAAAGGGTATATAGGCCTACAAGTTTCTGGGTCCGGGAAGGGGGGAGGCATTAATGATCACTCTAAAAACGTGCCTTCCCCCTTCCCCCCCCCCCCCCCCCCTTCCCCGTCTGCATCTGTACTCGGTAAAATGGCGCCGGGGAAGGTTGCCCACAAACCCACCAGATACCTAAGCGTGCTTAGTCACTGCAAGTCAGCAAGACTATTTTTGAAAAACAAAAAATGAACAGCTTTGACAAATTATTATGAAATATGAAAACAATAACTATAGATTCCCAACAGTAAACAATCACCAAATTAATCAACTTCAAAAGCAGAAATTAAACCTCCAATAAATCATGGTCAACCTTAAACCCATGCAACGCAAGGGATGATATTGTTCTATTATTTTATAAACATCAATTTCCATTTTGTTATTAAATCATTCTCGTTATCGATTCATTCGTTTTGTTTTAAGGTTATACCGGGGCCTTCGGACCTAAAAGGGACATACAAGTTCCCTTCGTATATATCTAGGGTGGATCAAAGTTAAATGTTCTGAATCAAAGAGTCAGAGGTTTGTGGATACGGGTGATACCATTGTGACTATCAATCTCGTCTGTGTTTATGAAGAGTTTCTGCTTTCGAAATAACCGACAATGAACTCCGTGTAGTTAGCAACCATTTTTCCTATATTGTATGAGGAATCTATAGTTTCTGGACGTCGACGAGTACACAATTTATACACAAAGGAGAAAGGTCAACTTAGATAGTTCCAAAAAGAAACCGTTGAGAAACGTTTTCTCAACGTTTCAAACGTGTCTAACAGTATCCGACTGAGCCAAAAACGTCGAGAAAAAAATCTTTCAACCGTTTCTTTCAGCATCAACATTTCTTCGCAGATGAAATTAATAGGCCTATGCATGTCATCGGCAAACCCCATTCTTGTATTCATTCCTCCATACTTCTTTGATCTTAATATGAAACGGAGATTCGCATTCAACTCCAAACTCTATTCACGAGAAAAAGCTGTAATGTAGGCCTATACAATAACGCTAAAAAAATCCAATATATCCATAACGGCACGTTTTCACACCTTTAATGGTTGTAAGGAACCAGAAATCAAATAAAGTATACTTGCAAACATAATACTTAAAATAGTGTCATAATTATTACAAAATTTGGCATAATAAGCAAACTCCAGAATGGGCCTACAGTGCTATGTCCATCGCCTATTACGATAAGAAGTGTTGGAGAGAATCTACGAAACGTGATCCAATGAAGCTCAATAGAGAACCACTCCGCATAAATAGCATGCCAATCTGGTTTGTAACCGAATTATGTTTAGCTTTTTTCCCCCTTAATAAAGCAGATTTCTGGTAGCTCCAAGGTATGGTCCCCAGAACCACGAATAAGCGTGCATGCTATCAAGAGAGGCGACCCGCACCCGAATCTAAGCTAAGAAGAAAATCTATGCTGCTAGTAAAATGCTGCTTGGTATCATTACAGTCACAAACCGGTTACATGGCTTTAAAATATACCCATTTCAGATAGCATTCCAGAGTCGCGTTGGAACCAAAATAGTTGTAGGTGCGACTCAGGTTTTGGTTTCAAACGCAGGCAAATTTTCCGTTGACTAGACGCTAAAGTCATTCCGAACGGGTGCAACAATCAATCTTATAACTTCATTGCTCCTGGTTCACACATCGAGCTTGTCGTGTACTAAACGCCAACATCCGCAATAATTTGATACGGCGCGACTTCGGAACGCCTGTCTGGAACGAGTGCAACATACCGCAAAAAAATCTTTAATTATTAACATTTCAAAACGAGAAGGTAATCGAATTTACAAGCCGACTCACTACTCGCACCGCTGAACGCAAAAATACCCATCTTGGATGGCAAGTTAATTATTTTACAAAATATCGTAAATGTAGACGAATTTCACATTACCCTCCCCTCCCCCCTCAGTGCCAAGCCATTGCCTTTCTGGTACACTCTCCTTTTTTTTTTAAATCATCGACACACAAAAAAGAGCACTATAAGGCCGTTGGTTTCAATGCTTATATATCTGAAATTCGTCTACATAACGTTCAGAACACAAACACTCTTATACAATACATTAATTATTTTACAACTTAAGGATAAAAACATGTTCACGGCAGGATGCGGTCCTGTTTTGATGATCGGGTCATGCAAAGTCGAAATGCTCAATGGTCCTCAAACGCAAAGGTGATTTTCAGGAGAAGTTCAATCGAGAGATGATATCTGGTGTCATACACACATCATATCGGTATTGTTAGCAGTTTAGTCTCCATTGCGTATCACCAATAGTTGCAAGCAATATCATAGATAGCAAGATGTTAATACACATGCAGTTTATATAGATAATACTGTTTCTCCTTCAAGTGCTAAGCTGGCGGATTTAAGAAGGCAATGATGAAGATAATTAAGTTCCCGTGTCGCAGGTACAAACGCATTCAGAAATGATGGGATAAGGCACTTTGAGCCATCGGCACTTGTTTCGCTTCTTGGAGGACCTGTCTTCTAATTCTTCCGGTGTTGCTGACCGACAATGCCATCTCAGCAGGGTGATGGTGTTGGTTTCACCGGGCACGCAGCTCATGCCGGACGGCCAGGAGCACTGGCGGGCCACGCACGCGCCGTGTTTAACCCAGGGCGGCCAGAACAGCGGTCCGATGTCTACCCACTCGTAGCGCACGGGGCAGCTGGCTCGCTCCAAGAGCCAGATTTCAAGGGCCCTCCTGGTGGCCGCCGAGAAAGAACCAGCCACGTTGTTGGGCGAGTGCGACAGGTTGAGATTGCGGAGCTCATTCTGCAACCAGACCGGCGTGTCGGAGCGAGTTGCCGGGTTCGACTCCAGCTCCGACCCGTCACCGGTAGGTGACGATGATGAAGGGGCGTCTATCGACATCCACCGCGGGTCAAATTCGGACTGCAGACGGCGTTGCAGTTTGCTTGGGTTCAGGTCTTTAGAGCGTGGCAGGTTGATGATCCCGTCCACTATTTCTCTGGGTAAGGGCAACGGTTGGGCCCTGTCGCTGACAATCAGAGGTCTGGACAAAAGCAACGGAGGACTCCTCTTGGAGTTGCCGGCTGTGCCTACACCGGCCATACAACACAACGCCAGCAGGACAATCATGTTTTTGAGGAAAACCCCTCGAAATATCTCGACCAGGTGTTTTTCGTCTCAAAGAGCCGAGAAAATTGTCTAAGACATCGCTAGTGGAAGTTGTGGCGCCGACAGGTAAATCGCTACACTCGCAGCTGTGTTTCTCTCATGGAGTGTGGGTTATTATGGATGGTATAGGCTCGGTGAAAGTCATGTTTATTAGTCTAGCATGACGCAGTTGATACCTGTGTCAACCCACAATGAATCATTGATACATGGTTAAAATTATAGTCTCGGCTGGGCTCTGCGCTATATATGAAAGAACAGGAGAGTATAGCGGGCAATCAAGCATAGACCGTGCCGTCTAGTCTGGGCTAGGCCGGCTGGCGCGACCGCTTGGCATCTCGTCTCACGTCTAAATGGGAATGGGAAATCAGAGACAATTGGGAGTTGTAAGCGTATACAATAGTTTTTGTTTTCTTCCCCCGTGACGGGGGTTGGTACATGGTGTGCCTGAACTTGGCAGCCGCGGGTAATATTAGGCAGAAACCCGTGATGATACTTCGCCGTGATAGATCTGTAGAGTCTAACCACGCATGTGCACACGGGCTCGTGCTCAAGCAAGCCTGTACACGCCGCACATGCTCAATCCAGCGAGCTCAAGTTCATCACGGGACCGGTTCCAGCACGCACCCCGGACCCATCTCACTGTGACATCTCACGTCATACAGTTATCCCGGCTGTACGTGTTCGTCAACCATGACCTAGATCACGGCACTTGGCTCTGTCTCATTATACGCTCCTCTATAGCTGCCGCAGAGAGCTCATTGTGATTGGTTGAGCGTGCGAGAGGGTTGACTGGAGTTTATTCTGTGGCTAATGGGGAAGACGCACGAACGTTACTCGTCTATCACGGTTTAAAGCAACGACGGTGGCAGGTTTACGGTTTCCTTATCGAGCGAAACAATCTGGGAACGAAATTCAAGAAAGATGCCGCATACACCCACAAGTGTAAAATAATAAATATGGGTCCCGTACAGGTGTTTTCAATCGATGCGTCGCAGGTGCAGGTGCAGAATATGTAATTAAGGGGGCACGGACTGGTACCGTAAATGTCACAATGACGAACGTTTTGACAGGTGGGACAAATGGGCAGGGTGGGGCTAGGCACAAAGATGAGTTGGTACGTGGTAAGGTAGAGTTGCGATGCTAGCCCAACCCAAACATTTGACCTAGTGTTAATATTTCGAGTAGTCTATGGAATATCCCCTTGATATGCGAGCGGATTCGGCAATTAATTATGCAAAACAAGACTGCGTCTTGACCTCGAGATTCTGACCATTCAGCGGGCGCCTTCTATCGGGTCTTCCGTAACTGTTGTTGTATTACAAAAGCATGACAGCCAAATTGACCAACCAATAGCCTTGTCCAAATTTCTGATCGAAATGACATCACAATTTCTAAAGTCGACTCCGAATGGCTGGCGCGTGGTGTCGCGTAAAATTTGCATGCTCACATAAATATATCAGACAGACGTTGGTTTAATACGGAAAGGGCTCCGTTGAACAATGGATGATACTCGGACTATATTTTGAGTCGCACCAAAAACGTGCCATATAACAAACTATTGATAAAATAGTTTTCAATTGAATCAACACACTTCAAACCATCAGAAAAAAAGTTAACAGACCAGGAAGATTAGGATAGTTTATATCAAACGTTGGTTAGGGAGAGGGCTCCGTAGAACAACGGATGATACTCGGAATATTTTATGAGTCGCATCAAAACCGTGCCACAAACTAACTATTGATTAATAGTTTTCAATTTAATCAACACACTTAAAACCATCAGAAAAGAAATTAACAGACCAGGAAGATTAGGATTGTTTGTAGTTATTACTTTTAATTCACACGAAAATTATTTATTTTGATCATTACCATTGCAACCACAACATGTAGACAGCAATATATATATATTTTTAAATTAAAGAAAACATTTATTATGATTATTGCCGATAAAACAAAACATTTGTAAAAATGATCAATTACAGATTTATAATCTGGAATGTGGGCAGCAATCTATAAATTTATAATAGGCACTTGAAGGGGTATAAAAATATTGGCCAAATTTTACGTTTTTGATTTATATTTCAGATACAAATTATTTCTTTTGTAAACAATGACATCACTTTTTTTCTTGAATTGCATAAGTAAATGAAATCTACAAAACTTCCTTTATGTATAAAAATAGACACGATCTAAGCTAAAAAAAACACCCAAAATAGTAAGACAGGTACTTACAACTAACTACAGATCTTTCAAACACCTGAATTTTTTTTTTTTTTAGTATCTGTAAAAATACAAACTATTGCACATTATGCTGTACACTTTTGCACTACTGAAAATATTCACTCCTGTCCTCTTGTACTTTGTGCATGTAGTATTTTGTGTATTAAGTGTGAACGTGGTTAAAGGGAATATACAACATTTGCAAACATCAAAAAACAAAACTAACAAATTATTATGAAATACCTTACTGGACTGTTATTGAATGCAGCAGTCTAAAACATTATGGGAAATCATGGCACCTGGGTTGCTGACATTTTCAAGAAAGTGGTATTTTTGTATCAAATTCCAACACTGGTCGGCCGACCAGTGTTGGAAAAAAAATGTGGTTTTTTTTTTCAAATACTCTTCCCCAATTCACCATATTTTGCTTGCAATCAATTACACATCTATGAACAGGTACAAGTCAGCTAGGCCAGTTCCCTGACCTTAAAATTCCCTGACTTTTTATATAAATTGCTCCATTTCAATTTAAGTGGGGTCAGGGAGCAAGACTACAAGAACATGATTGCTTTTCAACAAGTCAGTATAACAATATTTGCTATAAAATATTAACCCCCCAAATCCATCAATTTCTGAAAATTACAGCAAAAGCAAATGTGCTATATTCCCTTTTAACATCTACTTTTACAAACTACATGGATTAAAATGTGTACAAATACCTTTAGAAACTTACATATCTGAATAGAGAAAAGTCAAATGAAAATTTGAATTTCTATAAGCCCCCCACCCAATTTCTCACAGACTCCCACCCCTCTGTTCCGCCTCCAGACAACCACAGAATTCCAATTTGGAATCAGTGGAAGCTTATTACTCATGAAGTTCTCATGGGGACACACGGTTACTGTGTAGTGGTGGGCCAGACACTTTCTACATCCATTGTGTGAGGCACATCTACTCCATCAAAACCCGGCACGCGTCGCCCACAGATGTAGGCCAGGGTAAAAAGGGCCCTTTCAAATGCTCTGACAGGGGCAGATTTGGGTCATCCTTTCAGCTTTTCTTAGCTTCTCCATTCTGATTTTTTAGAAAACTCCCAACACCCACACATGGAATGCAATCACAAAATGCGATCTGACAATGATAAATGGTTAAAGCTGGATATTTTTTTTCTTTTCTTTGGTTGTTGCACCGTGTACTCACAGTCTCTACCGAGCTGGTGAGATGATCTAATAAAACCTAGGAGCATTTCAAGGACTCAAGACCACAAAAAGGAACACATTGTGTAACACCACAGCCAAATCCCATTTGTACTGGGATTTCTCAATCACATTGGGGGTTTCTTTTTTTAACAAATTGCAAAAAAGGCGCAGTAAGATTCGGTGTGGGGCATTTACAAACTAACAATGTTCGTGGCATTCACATTGGCGGCAAATATTTGATTTATATCTGACAATATGGTTTGAAGCTAACATGTTCTGACAAGACAATGTGGACTGTGTTACATGGAGTAATTGTATGGCCAGTTCATTCCTTTGGATACAATGAACCCGCGGTATAAAAATAACCTTTTCAAAGATGTACAACATAAAAGCGAGGGAATGGCAAAATTCTTGAAGGCTGTTCTGCAGTGCAATATTTCATTGGCATGTGTGAAGGAAACTTACATTTAAATTTTATGAAAATTGCTGGAATATAAATCACTCTTAGTTGTATTAATACCTGATTTTCAAATTTTTTCTCTTGGAATAACAATAATTTAAAACAATTAAATTTTGTGACAAAACAAACTACAGAAAAATTGCATACAGTCTCTCTGCAGTAAAGTATCAAGTTTAAAGAGGTTGTGGAATGCTGAAAATCGTTTTGTTTTTTATATTTTTTTTATTGTAGAGTAGACCCATATATATCATAATGACAAAGTCCCATTCTTTTGTAATGTGCGTTTATATGTTTATAAAACTGAAATTCATCGAGTAATTTGTTGGTCGGCGAGCGCATAATTGAAATCAACAGTTGTCGGGTTCTTCGTAAAATGAGAAAAATCGTGACGTAATAAACAGGACTTGTTTATACGACGCTGCATCGGGAGTCCTGTTTATTATGTCACGATTTACTATGTTTTGTTTGCTGCCCCCAACGACGACTTTTACACAAATTGCACGTTCGGGTCGAAACAGGACCTGAAAAACAGCTCTCAAAAGTACCTTTTGTACTCATCTCATGACAGACACAATAGTCGTTTTTATTTCATCACACCTTAGGCTACATATACCCGAAAAATGACGGAAATGTCTTCGAGCATTCCACAACCTCTTTAAAACCAATCAAACGATATAACAAGGCACTGCTAAACATAATTACTATGATCTTTACACTACGTCAGCACTTTTTGTAAGTACTCTTAATCACACTCCAGAGTTAAATTGCTCAAACTTCCTATCAGTAATTCTTTTGATTGCAATTCATACAAACAAAAGTTTGCACATTTTTAAACTTTTTTTAAAATTTAACAAAGCTATGTATTTAAATTTGACTAAGACTCTACTATTTCAGTATGGACAAAATCTGGAGCTCAAAACTTGCAAAACCAAAACAACACAAAACTATGCATTACCTTGTGATGCCATTATCTCCTCGATATTCTTCAAAATGGATGCTATCTGGTGAGATACAAATCAACCAAAACAAAGTCTTGATATTAATAGACGGCAAATGACTTCAATAAAATGGCCAAACAGAAGTCATCCATACTAAAGAAACACAACCTATCAGAAAATAACAATTGAATACAATAACTAAATCAAATAAACTAGACCGGAGAAAAAATGGACATGTAAAATGAAAAATAGTATCAAATGAATGACAATAAAAGGCAATCTATCAGTGGTACTTATATAAAAGTTTAAAAACTAGTAGACAAATGTCAGATTGATTGTTGTTGTTCAAAATAAATCGATACAAACAAAACAAAATGCATGCGATGGCCCAATTTAAAGAAATATTAAACAGAGTTCCTGCACCTTTAGGAAATAAAATTCCATGACTTTTCCATAACTTTTCCATGACTTTTCCATGACTTTTTTCCATGACTTTTCCATGACTTTTCCATGACCAAGTTATGAAAATCCATGACCTCGTTCATCAAAACTGTAAAACATGTTCTGTGAAAAGTGCTCAGCAAAAACAGAAAAACAACAAAAACAAACCAATGATGTTTTTCAAAGTCAAAATGCTTCTATCAGTGAAATTTGTCGCATTTTTTTCTGATGTTAATAAATTGGTCCTTAAAAAAAATTCCACAACATTTCCATGACTTTTGTCATTTTTACAAATTGCCATGACTTTTCCAGGCCTAGAAATTGAAAACGAAATTCCACAACTTTTCCATGACTTTTGTCATTTTTACAAATTTCCGTGACTTTTCCAGGCCTGGAAATTGAAAACGAAATTCCACAACTTTTCCATGACTTTTGTCATTTTTACAAATTTCCATGACTTTTCCAGGCCTAGAAATTGAAAACAAAATTCCACAACTTTTCCATGACTTTTGTCATTTTTACGAATTTCCATGACTTTTCCAGGCCTGGAAACTGAAAACAAAATTCCATGACTTTTCCATGACTTTTGTCATTTTTACGAATTTCTATGACTTTTCCAGGCCTGGAAATTGAAAACAAAATTCCATGACTTTTCCAGGTTTTTGCAGGCTGCAGAAACCCTGATTAAAAAAACAACTCCATAAAATGTAATGTTTAAAAACCAAATTCTTACAATCTCGACATTTCCTTGGTCCCCACCCTCTGTGGCCACTTTCTGGGCCACCAGTAACTTCTCCCTGGATTCCTGCAGCCGATCATTCATGCCCAGGAGTTTAGCTCCCAGGATCATCAGATCCACGTCGTCGGGCTTGACAGCAAAGATCTGCTCCATGACGGCCAGGGCCTCTGGGTAACGCTTGTAGAATCCGTGACACTTGGCCAGGTTCTCCAGAACGATCTGTGTGGAATCACAACAATGCAGGACTTTCACTACAGGGTGATCCAAGGAAATTGAAACCCTGAGACATTTGCTTTTTTTTTTTAACGTGATTTGTGAATTTTTATGTTTGGAGTATCAGATTCAAGCTGAGAGCTTTTTCTTTCAAATACTGAACAAAAATCATGAAAATAGTACACTGGGTTGCTGAGAAAATGCCAATTATGTAAAAGAAGTGATATTTCATCCTTTCCAAAAGTGCTTCAAACAGTGAAACGTGTTACTGTATTTAAAGCCCACTGTGCAATTGTCTTTCATTTGTGCAATTTATTAAAAAATTTGACATTTTTATGATTCTGAAAAGGTTTAAAATAGGACTAAAGGATGAAACACCTGTTAAGGTGGAAAATAAAAGGTGTTCACAGAATAAATTCACATATCACGTGTTTTCATACATTTAAGAGGAGAAACTTGCACAGTATATCTTCCTAAAAACAATTAATTGCATGGACCCTTTAAAATCTCACAAGTAATTTGAATGGACTATTGTAAAGGCCTTATTTAGGTCAATCCTCTGCTACTTCTAAACCAACTAGTGACCGACCAATGCTTGACTGAATTCACAACCATGATTTCCCTAGACCTACCACGTCATCAGGGAAGAGTTCAGCAGCAGCCAGCAATATCTTCTGGCCTTCGTCTCTGTGATCACACTCCACAAACGTCTTGTAGGCGTGCATGTAGAGCCCTGGATCCTTCCCGTCTGGGTTCTTTCTGATGAGGTCTAGGAGGGCGTCTGCTCCTCCTTCCCTGGCCAGGACGACCAGCTTACGACCCAGGACACGCATGCTGCTGGGAAACCTGGGATGAAAGACAATCAGAGGAGTCAGGTTGAGACAGTGGGACCTTTTTTTCACATTCCATCTCCGTGTCTTAGGCTCAATTCAAGACAATCAAGGGGAGTCAGGTTGAGACAGTGGTGCCCTTTTTTCCACATTCCATCTTTGTGACTTAGGCTCGAATCCCACCAAGGCCGACATGTGGACTAGGTTTTCAGTCCCTGTCAGCTTTTCGGGGGTTCCCCAGAATATTCTTTGGGGTTTTCCTCCCAGAACACTTCTTCATTGTCTTCTCTCTATGCAGGCATGCAACTGGGAATTTAGAAAAAAAAACGAGGAAATTTCAACCCACACAAGACTTTGTAAAGTGTTTTTCAATTTGCAATGGCAATCATTGAGAAGTAAAAAAAAAACCAAGGAACTCAGCGGATACAAGGAAAAGTTGCATGCCTGTCCGTGGGTTTCTTCAGTAATCCTAACTGCAGTGCCACATGAGTGCATTTGATGAATACTTGGTTACATTGCCAGAAATGAAAACAATTGATTAAAATAACAAAAATTAGTTTCTGTTTCATTAAGATTGTAATATTCTTCAGTCTAATATTATTAATGTTCAGTGGTTATCTACAGTGGGCCATGGGGAGGGGGCCAACAGACCACCACCACTGGAGGCCTGTACCCTCGTAGCAAATATGAGCTTTTCATTGTTCAAAACCCATTTTCATCTCACTTAGGCTTGGAGATTATACACCCCATTCATCCATGTCGTAGGAAAACAAGTACCAAGTGGTACAACCCACGGCGATTCCACGAACCGTACAACCGAGAACTTTGCAATGCCATGGGGCGTGATCTAATATGCAAATTAGATGCATGGCATCAGTGTCACAAAACTGCAGGTATTCCATAGAAACTCACTGGCAACAGGCCGAGTAAAGTGTCCACCAACCAACCCACCCACCAACCACCCATCAACCCACCAACCAACCAACCCCCCAACCAACTGACCAACCAACCAACCAACATAAGCAGCTAAAGCCCATGCCGTATTTCACACCGCCGTGGGAAAAACCACAGTACTTACTTTTGAAGTGCGTAGTCCAAGGTATGCTTGAAGGGTCTGTTGGGTCTCTGGTCTCCCAGCAGACGTTCGTCCAGCTGATCTAAAGTGACAAAGATGCTCTCGTTGGCAAACTCTGCCGTGATGACGCGCTCTAAGACGTGATGGGCTTCTTCCATTCTGTCTTGCTCGATGTAGTATTGCAGCATGGACGTGTTGAGGTACTCCACGGACTGATCCATCAGGCCTAGGTTGAATAGTGTCTCACCTGGCCAGATGGAATATGGAATAGAAGAGGTTTGATCACAGTTGCCACACATCTTTACAAGTCAACAACTAGTAGTAAATAACCTTCTTTTATTGTTGTCTTCAAAATGACAGCTTGCCAAAAAGAAGAATTTCACAGGAAGTTTAGTGCCCTTACTATATCTTTCATTCAACCAAGTAAGCTTTTCAACACTAATTTTGTCAGTTACTTTTTGGATAGCTGCAACTGATATCACTCTACCATTAATTAGGTGGGTTGATGGGGTATAGATTCCATAGATTCCTTGGTATTGTCCCTACCTGCTGCATTGAAGTAAGGGATAGCCTTCTCATGCTGTCCCATCATCAGGTATGATCCGGCTACATTCTCCTGCGTCATCGCGGTGTCCAATCCCTCCGGTCCATATGCAACCTTGAATAATGGACAAAGGATTGAAAACAATCAGTGTTTTGTGTTGATGCTGCAGACTCACTTAGTGTAACTATAGGTAAAATACACTGGCAAGTAACAATATTCGTGGGAATGCATTTAATTTACGGATTTACAAAATGCACAAGAAAGCCTCAAACTTATCTGAGAAAATACATTTGTAATCAAAATAATCAAAAATATCTATGCTAATTCATAACAATTTCAGAGGCTACCCCTCCCCCCCCAAAATTAAGTACGCAAACAAAGTAGCCATAAATAACAGAATTAGGAACAACATTCTACCTGCGAAATCAGGAATTCCCAAATAGAAAAATATATTGTAGGTAAGAGAAATGTAATCACACAAATACTATACTATACTATTTTATTTCTCGGGAATAATCAATAAATACATGTACACAGATGACCAAAGTCACAAGGAACACATCAAACAAAAGCTTTAGATCCAAAACAACCAACAAAACAAAATACCATTCAGCTCCCGAAGGATTGACCAAAAGAAACATTGTTTCTGTCTAAGGGGTTCTCCAAGCTGAATGGAAAATGCAAACTTTAATAGGGGACTCACTAAATGTAATTTGATGGGGAAAAAATTCACATCACAAAAAGAAACAAACTAATAATTATGAATATTCAAAGGTCAGGACACGCACACACACACAAAAACAAGCACGAGTGCACAATAAGCTCTGGTCTGGTTCCGGAATGTCTCGCTTCATATGCAAAATAGATGCGCATGCGCATCGATTGAGACAAAGGGGCGTGTTCTGAAAACTTTTGCCAAGAGTGCATTTACTGACGACGGCATTGCATTTGGTCAATTTTTGGTCAATTGGTAGTTATATTTTATGGGAAACCTAGGGGGCTTGTTTTTGGTCAATTTTACAGGAACAGGCCTACCGACTGACCAACCGACCGACCGACCACAAAGTGACATGTAGAAGTTCCAGCCAGAGCTTAAACACACAGTTTGAGGCAAAAAGAACCCATTCACATTTTGGAGAAAAACAAAATTAGTCAGAACCATCTACCCTTTTATGCACCCAATTTGCCAAAGCCTGTTTAGTCCTGCTGATAATTCATTTTCTCTTACCATGAAAATGTCCAATGCTTCCAGATACATGTCCAGTGCTTGCTCGGTCTTCTCAAGACGTTGCATGTACGCGCCGTACGTCATCAGAACCTGTGCTACCTCGTGATGGTTACGACCGTAGGCGTTCTCGCGGATATCTATGGCTCTGAACAGTCACAATGTAAGGTTTTTCTTTTCAAGCTTGCTGAATCGTTGGATGTTAATTTACCACATTATCTTGGGTTATACTTCACATAAATGTGTTAATGTACAAATATAAAGAAAATCTGAATCCCCGAAAATCGCAAGTGCTAGAAACCTACATAAATATTCATGCTAAAAATTTATGAAGATTTCAGAGGCAATAGAATATTCAAGCAAACTTGCTGTGAAATTCAACAGGGTTGAAATGTGTTCAACTTTTGGGAATACCAGTTTTCAGGGCAAGTTTTCGCGCTGCGAAAACTTGCCTAGATGTCCAAATTCTTTATGTTTGTGTTCACTTTCGCGCCGAGTATGATTCGGCCTTTAGGCCCCACCCATTTCAGAGTGGGACCAACAATACGTGTGCCTCTCCAAATGCCTTGCTGCATGTTCGGAGGTGCGCATAGTACACAAACACACATTTTATTTACACGCACAATGCATCTAGCACTTTTGTCAGACATAAATCACGGCAGTGATTGGCCATCATTTATTGGGGTTGGCCTTTAAGGGATTGGTCAATTTGTTGTGCCATCACAGACTCACTTTCGCTTATTGTTATTCATGCTAAAAATTTATGAAGATTTCAGAGGCAATAGAATATTCAAGCAAACTTGCTGTGAAATTCAACAGGGTTGAAATGTGTTCAACTTTGGGAATACCAGTTTTCAGGGCAAGTTTTCGTGCTGCGAAAACTTGCCTAGATGTCCAAATTCTTCATGTTTGTGTTCACTTTCGCGCCGAGTATGATTCAATCGTGATGGAAAACTAACTAGATTTGCTTTAAATCAATCAAACAATGAAACAACTGGTATTAAGAGTTGAACCTGTAACCTCTAGAAATATGGTATGGTATTCCAGGTATCGATATATAAAGGGCTCTGAAATTAGAGCAAGAAATTTAAGGGAACACAAGGAAAGTAAACATGGTAGGAAGGCCAAACTACCACTTACAATTTAAAAAAAAAAAGCAGGAAAATCCTGCAATTGCAGGAGGACTTTCACTGGTCGCCGGTTCAAATCCTGCTGGGCAGTTTCCCATACTGGTATTTTAAATAATCAGATTGTTGTTAATAAAACTCCAGCAATTTCTACACAAGAGAAGGGATTTAAGCCCACATACCTCTGATACGTGGCCTGCACTTCCTCTGGCGTTTTGTTTGGATTCCGGACGTGACATTTGGCCAAGTTGAGCAAGGTTCCACCCACGTCGGGAGGGAGACTGTCAAAGTAGAGCTCCTCGTAGATCTGTGGGTCAAGAGTTGCGCATTATCCAAAGATTGATGGCATGTGCTTCTGGATTTGATAAATTTTGTCACTTTTGCCATTGTCACTTTTGCCATGGCCACTTTTCCATTGTCACTTTTACCATTGCCACTTTTGCCATGGCCAGTTTTCCATTGTCACTTTTGCCATGGCCACTTTTCCATTGCCACTTTTTCCATTGCCACTTTTGCCATGGCCACTTTTCCATTGCCACTTTTGCCATTGTCAGGTTTGTCATGGTCACGTTTGTCACTGCCCCTTTGATCCATGGTCACTTTTGTAATAGTCACTGTCATTTTTGTCATTGTCATCATTGTTTTTGCAATTGTGAATTGTCACTGCCACAATCGTCAAATTCATTGACGCTGTTGCATCATGACTGAACTGACTTACTTCGAGCGCTCTCTCCAGGACCTTAGCTCCTTCATCATAGCGGCCCAATATTGACAGAGCTGAGCCCACGTTATTGGTCGCGGTGGCTATGACCTCGTATATGTCACTACCATTCAAATCTTCCTTGTGTAATGCCAATGCTTGTTCGAAGTAGTCCAGTGCCTGATGAAATCAAAGAAAGAGATTCTTGGTCAGAGGAAGTGGGGATTCATGGGGACATTTCCCACCCCCAAACGTATTGATGATTATGTCTTCTGGCCCCCTCTTCTGGATTTTGCAATTCGGAGACCTATTTTTTAATTTTATTTTTTATGTATATTCCAGAGAAAGTTGCACGACCTGCCAAGTTAAAATTCAACAAACCCAATTTGAATCAACAGACATTTTCGATATACATGACATGTTTGCGTAACAAAAATTATGAATGTATCCATTTTAGTCGTCTGCTACTTACCTTTTCATTGCTACCAAGTTTGAGGTGCACGAAGCCCATGTTGTTCACTGTGACAGCTTTCTCTGAGAGACTTACATTACACTCAGGCCTTTGAATCAAACACAAAAATAAGCCTTGTCGTTTATTTGAAATTTGTAATAAAAAACCTTATCGTCTCTGGATTATCCTTGTTCAGCTATTCTCAATGTATGCAGCATTGCCAATGTTGGCAGCATCGTGACTTTGGGCGTGATCCTACATAGCATACATAAGTTTATGGCTTCTGACTAACGCCCCTTGAACAGACACTGGGGAACCGCCAACATAGGGCTGGATAGCTCAGATGGTAGAGCACTCGAAAGGATATCTGGAGGTCACAGGTTCAAACTTCAGTCCAGTCAATTTCTCTCTGAGTGATCCCCGTTTGCCATTTCCCAGTTTGCAGCATTGCTAATGATTCCAGCATTGTGACTTTGGCCGTGATCCCTGGCTACATAGCATACAACCCAAAGTTAAGATGCCAGCAACATCAGCAATACAGCGCAAGTGTACCTATCAGATTTCCACTCATTTATTACTTGAATTAGTAATTTATAAATATTGGGTCTATATTACAGCAACTTACTTTTCTTTGATAGCCAGTAGTTTTTCATGAATGGCCAGGGCCTCGTCGAATCTGTCGACATCGGCGTAGAAGCGAGCCAGTTGGTTTTCATAATAGAGACCCTCCAACGTTTCCTTGGGATCGGCGCTCATTAGATCACCCGGTAAAGGCTGGTGGGGCAGAATGATAGGAGTTTTGGATTAGGATTTTGTATCTGGTTCGTTAGTGTGACGTCAGTTCAGTTTAAACCACGCCCACTGCACGTTAAGTAGCACTGGAACCATTGGAACCGGAAGTTAAAGCAGCTTGAGTGTTTATCCAATGGGCGCTAGTAATCAGTGTCCTATGTGAGGGTATCAGTATGTAGCACTCTAATAATTTAACATAGCCCTATGGTTACATCCTACTGTAGAACAATCAACTAGGGCTGTGCATCGGAGCCGGGTACCCGAGAACCCGACCGTCAACGTCGGGAACCGGTTCCAGATTATGGAATCGAGTACCCGTAACCGACTTTAAAAATTACCCAGTAACTTCTCAGAGAATGAAAAAGAACAGCTTCGAAAGTCATTGATTAAGAAATTTCAAAATGGAAAACAGACTACGTAGAAAACAAAACCAATTCCACATTTACGATGCTCGTGATAGTTGCAGTTTTTACCATAAAGCTAAAGAGCTCACTGTATACATTTGTAACTTGCGTACTGGCGCTCCGATATGGGGTAGTATTAGCATGCACACCTTTATGAACAATCTGAACAGCAACTTCCGAGATTGACATTTTTGGGGTTGGGTTTCTTTAATGGGTACTTAATGGGTACCCAGTACCCCTATTTTTTTCAATAGGGTACCCGGTTTCTGTACTACCCGTAAATGCACACCCCTAAAATCGACTCACATTCATCCTGATGGCTCGTTGTAGTAGAGGTTCCAACACTGTCCTATGCCCTGCCTCCTCCAGAAAATTACTGATGCGTCCGACTACTGAGACTAGCTGCTTCAGTAACAGGACCAAAAAAAAGAAAGAAAGTCGTTAGCTCCAAAAGCACATCTCATTTATGTCGATGTAAGAATGAAATAAGTGCAGAAATATTTGCTTAGCCAAAACATGTTACCAGCCAACATACAAAGGGATTTATATTGCTGGTCGCTGGCATTCAGCTTAATTTTGCTTGGAACATTAAGTTGATAAGCAATGGGGGAGTCAGGTTGGACTAGCGGTACTTTCCTCGCCTTCCACTGCTGTGACCGGGGTTCAAATCACACCTGGATTTTCCCCAGAATATTCTTCTGGGCTTTTCCTCCCACCTTTAAACTGTAATTTCTTCTCATTGTCTCCTCTCTACAGTTTTCTTCAGGCTTTCGAGCTACAGTGCCTAGGGCGCTTTTGAGGAATCCTTGGTTTCATTAGCAGAAATATATAATAATAATAATAAAAAAAGTAATAATAATTACCCTGGATTTGACATTTGGAGACATCCCCATAGACTTGTGCACAAAATTTGTCAAACTTAAATGTGCCCTTACCCAATATTCCCTTGTTCTTTTTCCACAAATTTTGGTATGTTTACTAATTAGACCACGAGCAACAAATATAACCTAATTGCGACAGTGAAATTGTGTCTCTAAGGGGGGGCTGTGACATTATGTCTCCCTAATGACCGATGTCTCCGATCGTGTGAAGAAATTACGATAACGTGTCCCCTTAGTGGTACCTTTACACGTACAGTATTTATAGCTCTGCAGCCCCATGTAAAAGACCTTTCTGACATTCGCACTTCATCATAGGTATGGATGACAAACAAGCTATACAGTTTATACGGAAAACCTATGGCGACAGTGAACCAGTCAAACTTGACATGGACAATGACACTGCAAAACATATAACCTATTTCAAGAATCATGTACTTCAAAGCAGTGACAAATCTGGGGAAAAAACCAAGAAGATCTAACCTGTTTGCCAGCAGTAGGTTGTGGCGGAGTACCAGTTTCATCAGTACTTTCTGTATACAGACATGCTACCTGCTCATCTAAGGCTTTCATGTACATCTGTTGGATCTGAACTCCCGATGCCCCTGTGCTATTCCAGTAATCTACCAAGTCATACTTGTGCTGATCTCTGTGAAAAAAAAAGTTTATAGAAAAATTGAGTTTTCAAATAATCTTGCTTAATAATTTTATCTTAAAATTAATCTAAGAAACTGACAGGAGCGAGGTTTGAACCTCCCACCTTCAGATTACCATTCCAGTGCTCTACCAACTGAGCTATGCAGCCCTTGGGAACACTCAACGTCCAAAGCTGGACGTTCCCAAGGGCTGGGTAGCTCAGTTGGTGGATCACTGGAACGGTAATCCAGAGGTTGCAGGTTCAAACCCCGTTCCGGTCAATTTCTTTGTTCAACTTTAATTATAACACACCTGCTTTGTCTGATTTGACTTGTCACCTGACTTGTCACTTGACTTGTCATCTGACTTGTGACCTGACTCGTGACCCGACTCGTGATTTAACTTCTGATATAACATGTGATAGACTTGCGACTTGGCATGTGACTGCCAATCTTTAAATAAACAATTATGAGAAGTCGCAGCATGTATACTGATCTAGGATTCCATCTAGTTGATGAGAAAAAATTAGATACCATATTGGAATCAATTATGAGAAACTTACCTGAAGAGAGCGCTAAACATAGCCAGACTCAGCAGGCATTCCTGGAGCTGCTCCTTTGCTCTTAGCTTGCACAGTAACCATGGCAACTCATTCAAGACTCTCTCCGGTATCTGGGTGTCATATCGTGGGCTCAGTGACTGTTTGTTCAAATTGGAAGAGAAGATTGTTTGCAAAATGTTCTTTGCCTCAATTTGAATAAATAAAACGTTTAATTCGGAAATGGTGCTTTTCTATCTCTGTCAAATGAAAATATTTTTATCGCTCTCTCAAAGTGTGTGTGTGTGGTTTTTTTTTTTACGTATTCCTGTTACAGTAATGGAATTTTCAAGCCCTCCATATTCACAACAGCTTTTTAAAAGTTATACCTTAAAAACTTCAAAGAAATAGTCGGCCACGATCCTCCTGAATTGATTTTCTTGGTCTTGGTCTGTGCAGAAATGCTGTCTCACTGCCTCTGCCAACTCACTGTAGGCTAACCTGTAAAACAAACATGAACTAGCACTGCAGAAAACGTATTCTAACTTGTACATTTAATAAATGTACAAGTTGGAACGGGATGTGAACCTGCGACCTCAGGAATATTGTACTGATGCTCCACCAACTGAGCTCTTAAGCCCAAATTGTTGGTAATCTGAAAAACAGTCCTTTTTTTATGGGGCACTAGTCAGACGCCTTAAACCCATATGAAACATGTTGTCAGGTATCACGCCAAAAGTCACGATACTACCAACTGAGCAGACAGTCGTGTTTTACTTTACTCTCGAGGACAATGCTTTGTGTTTCCCTTGGTCCCTGTAATATAAACTCTCCCATAGACTAAGCACATAACCGTACGATGGAGGATCATTTTCAACAAAAGACCCAAGGCCCGAGGACTGAAAGGATCTGTTGTTCTCCCTTTGTGTGTGTGGGTCCTCGGGGGGCTTATGTAGAACACATACAATGATGCAAACCTGGGAAACAGTAAATAATAATAATAATGTGGTACTTATATAGCGCTTTATATCAAAGGTCTCAAAGCGCTTTAAAATTATTACCCCTATTCATCAGGCCAGGAGACCACTTTTTCTGCAGCCGCTCGAGATCAGCGCAATCTGGTCTCTACCTTCACAGCTACTCATTTATACTACTGGGTGGACAGAGGCAATTGTAGTAAAGTGTCTTGCCTAAGAACGCAAGCACCACGTTCCCTGTCTGGGTTCAAACCCACGTACCACGGCACGTGAGTCGAACACTGTAACCGTTGGACCAAGGTGTGCTCTGGGGGGGGGGGGGGGGGGGGAGGAAAGGGCCAAACGGGTATCGCTCATAGATCATAAATCATTTTTAAACGGAATCATAAATAAACCACAAAATTCATCTCAAAGCTAAGCCGCGTCCAAAACACTTGGCTAAGGCCGGTGGTAACACACATGTCTATGGGAAGTGGCGTCAGCTGCTTCCATAGACGTGTGTGTAATGGAAAGACGTAGCCATTTAATTTAGATGCAGCCTTACACATGATTCCAACAAATCTGGGCCAAATTTCTTGGCTCTGCTTACAGTAAGTGAAAAATCCCTGCTTACTTACGGTTAGCGTATTTCACGTGTTAGTGTGGAATTCTGGCTTCTGCGCATGGGAACAACCAATAACTAAGGATTCTGTGCTTACAGGGTTAGCACAGAATTTTTCTGCTAGTGAGGTTAGCACAAAATGGTGATCGTAAGCACAGAATTCTTAGGTTAGAGCCATGAAATTGGGCCCTGATTGGATCTCAATGACACTTGACCAATACTCACACATACAACCCCGATCTCTCGATCACAAACTCGTTCATGGCGAAGTACAGCGTGGACCATGCCTGGTCAGTCACGCCTAAAATCTTCTTGATCTCCACCTCTGACAGGCCACGCCTAGCAACCAGAAGGCAACACATCACCTGATCAAAATAAAAAAGTTCAAATTGAAACACAGTGGAATGTGGATCAGGCAAACCTCAGTGGAATTGGCTAAAATTTTGAGTTCAGCAGAGTTTTGAGTTATCCAATGGATTTTCGATTCAACAACAATTGACGGGAACAAGTTTTTACTTCGAGTTAGAAGGTTTTTGAGTTTACAGGTTTTGACTTTAAAAGATTTCACTATATATTGCAAAATATATTCTTCCAGAAGACTTGTAAACAAACGAAACAATCCTTTAAATTTTCTAATTTGTGCAAATTAGTAATCATGTTTAAAAAAGAGATTTCAGCTAACTATAGTCAGGATCAGGGCAGCAAACAAACATTTCATTTTTTACCAAAAATGGTCCAAATCTGAAAAGTTTTCCATATCCGCGGTCATCAGAAATACTGATTTTTGGCCAAAAAATCCAACTTCAGAAAACTAAGTCAAATGTTCACACAAGGTGAGTAGATGCCAGAAATGAATCCCCAAGAGATTTCAGATCACTACAGTCAGCATCCAGAAAGAAAACAAACATTTCAGTTTTTTAGCAAAAATGGTCCAAATCTGAAAAGATTTTCATATCCGCGATCATCAAAACAGCTGATTTTTGGCCAAAAAATCCAACTTCACGAAACTAAGTCAAATTTTCACACAAGGTGAGTAGATGCCAGAAATGAATCCCCAAGAGATTTCAGCTCACTACAGTCAGGATCACGGCATAATACAAACATTTTAGTTTGCTACCAAAAATGGTCTAAATCTGAAAAGTTTTCCATATCCACATCTTCAAAAATACTGATTTTTGGCCAAAAAATCCAACTTCACGAAACTAAGTCAAATGTTCACAAAAGGTGGGTAGATGCCAGAAATGAATCCCTCAGAGATTTCAGCTCACTACAGTCAGGATCAGGGCAGAAAACAAACATTTCATTTTTTTAAGCAAAAATGGTCCCAATCTGAAAAGTTTTCCATATCCGCGGTCATCAAAAAAATTGATATTTGGCCAACAAATCCAACTTCACGAAACTAAGTCAAATGTTCACACAAGGTGAGTAGATGCCAGAAATGAATCCCCAAGAGATTTCAGCTCACTACAGTCAGGATCCGGGCAGAAAACAAACATTTCAGTTTTTTGGCAAAAATGGTCCAAATCTGAAAAGTTTTCCATATCCGCGGTCAGCAAAAATACTGATTTTTGGAAAAAAATCCAACTTCACGAAACTAAGTCAAATGTTCACACAAGGTGAGTAGATGCCAGAAATGAATCCCCAAGAGATTTCAGCTCACTACAGTCAGCATCCAGTGAGAAAACAAACATTTCAGTTTTTAGCAAAAATGGTCAAAATCTAAAAAGATTTCCATATCCGCGGTCATCAAAAAAACCCTGATTTTTGGCCAAAAAATCCAACTTCACGAAACTAAGTCAAAAATTCACACCAGGTGAGTAGATGCCAGAAATGAATCCCCAAGAGATTTCAGCTCACTACAGTCAGGATCCGGACAGCAAAAGAACATTTCAGTTTTTTACCAAAAATGGTCTAAATCTGAAAAGTTTTCCAAATCCGCGGTCATCAAAAATACTGATTTTTGGCCAAAAAATCCAACTTCACGAAACTAAGTCATATGTTCACACAAGGTGAGTAGATGCCAGAAATGAATCCCCAAGAGATTTCAGCTCACTACAGTCAGGATCCGGAAAGAAAACAAACATTTCAGTTTTTTGGCAAAAATGGTCCAAATCTGAAAAGTTTTCCATATCCGCGGTCATCAAAAATACTGATTTTTGGCCAAAAAATCCAACTTCACGAAACTAAGTCAAATAATCACACCAGGTGAGTAGATGCCAGAAATGAATCCCCAAGAGATTTCAGCTCACTACAGTCAGGATCCAGGCAGAAAACAAACATTTCAGTTTTTGGCAAAAATGGTCCAAATCTGAAAAGTTTTCCATATCCGCGGTCATCAAAAATACTGATTTTGGCCAAAAAATCCAATTTCACGAAACTAAGTCAAATGTTCACACAAGGTGAGGAGATGCCAGAAATGAATCCCCAAGAGATTTCAGCTCACTACAGTCAGGATCCGCGCAGAAAACAAACATTTCAGTTTTTTTGCAAAAACGGTCCAAATCTGAAAAGTTTTCCATATCCGCGGTCATCAAAAATACTGATTTTGGGGTAAAAAATCCAACTTCACGAAACTAAGTCAAATGTTCACACAAGGTGAGTAGATGCCAGAAATGAATCCCCAAGAGATTTCAGCTCACTACAGTCAGGATCCAGGCAGAAAACAAACATTTCAGTTTTTTGGCAAAAATGGTCCAAATCTGAAAAGTTTTCCATATCTGCGGTCATCAAAAATACTGATTTTTGGCCAAAAAATCCAACTTCACGAAACTAAGTCAAATAATCACACCAGGTGAGTAGATGCCAGAAATGAATCCCCAAGAGATTTCAGCTCACTACAGTCAGGATCCAGGCAGAGAAAACAAACATTTCAGTTTTTTGGCAAAAATGGTCCAAATCTGAAAAGTTTTCCATATCCGCGGTCATCAAAAATACTGATTTTGGGGTAAAAAATCCAACTTCACGAAACTAAGTCAAATGTTCACACAAGGTGAGTAGATGCCAGAAATGAATCCCCAAGAGATTTCAGCTCACTACAGTCAGGATCCAGGCAGAAAACAAACATTTCAGTTTTTTGGCAAAAATGGTCCAAATCTGAAAAGTTTTCCATATCCGCGGTCATCAAAAATACTGATTTTTGGCCAAAAAATCCAACTTCACGAAACTAAGTCAAATAATCACACAGGTGAGTAGATGCCAGAAATGAATCCCCAAGAGATTTCAGCTCACTACAGTCAGGATCCAGGCAGAAAACAAACATTTCAGTTTTTTGGCAAAAACGGGTCCAAATCTGAAAAGTTTTCCATATCCGCGGTCATCAAAAATACTGATTTTTGGCCAAAAAATCCAATTTCACGAAACTAAGTCAAATGTTCACACAAGGTGAGGAGATGCCAGAAATGAATCCCCAAGAGATTTCAGCTCACTACAGTCAGGATCCAGGCAGCAAACAAACATTTCAGTTTTTTTGCAAAAACGGTCCAAATCTGAAAAGTTTTCCATATCCGCGGTCATCAAAAATACTGATTTTTGGGTAAAAAATCCAACTTCACGAAACTAAGTCAAATGTTCACACAAGGTGAGTAGATGCCAGAAATGAATCCCCAAAAGATTTCAGCTCACTACAGTCAGGATCCAGGCAGAAAACAAACATTTCAGTTTTTGAACAAAAATGGTCCAAATCTGAAAAGTTTTCCATATCCGCGGTCATCAAAATACTGATTTTTGGCCAAAAAATCCAATTTCACGAAACTAAGTCAAATATTCACACAAGGTGAGTAGATGCCAGAAATGAATCCCCAAGAGATTTCAGCTCACTACAGTCAGGATCCGGGCAGAAAACAAACATTTCAGTTTTTGGCAAAAATGGTCCAAATCTGAAAAGTTTTCCATATCCGCGGTCATCAAAAAAAACCTGATTTTTGGCCAAAAAATCCAACTTCACGAAACAAAGTCATATGTTCACACAAGGTGAGTAGATGCCAGAAATGAATCCCCAAGAGATTTCAGCTCACTACAGTCAGGATCCGGGCAGAAAACAAACATTTCAGTTTTTCAGCAAAAATGGTCCAAATCTGAAAAGTTTTCCATATCCGTGGTCATCAAAAATACTGATTTTTGGCCAAAAAATCCAACTTCACGAAACTAAGTCAAATATTCACACAAGGTGAGTAGATGCCAGAAATGAATCCCCAAGAGATTTCAGCTCACTACAGTCAGGATCCGGGCAGAAAACAAACATTTCAGTTTTTGGCAAAAATGGTCCAAATCTGAAAAGTTTTCCATATCCGCGGTGAGCAAAAATACTGATTTTTGGCCAAAAAATCCAACTTCACAAAACTAAGTCAAATGCTCACACAAGGTGAGTAGATGCCAGAAATGAATCCCCAAGAGATTTCAGCTCACTACAGTCAGGATCGGGCAGAAAACAAACATGTCAGTTTTTTAGCAAAAATGGTCCAAATCTGAAAAGTTTTCCATATCCGCGGTCATCAAAAATACTGATTTTTGGGTAAAAAATCCAACTTCACGAAACTAAGTCAAATGTTCACACAAGGTGAGTTGATGCCAGAAATGAATCCCCAAGAGATTTCAGCTCACTACAGTCAGGATCAGGCAGAGAAAACAAACATTTCAGTTTTTGGCAAAAAAGGTCCAAATCTGAAAGGTTTTCCATATCCGCGGTCATCAAAAATACTGATTTTTGGCCAAAAAATCCAACTTCACCAAACTAAGTCAAATGTTCACACAAGGTGAGTAGATGCCAGAAATGAATCCCCAAGAGATTTCAGATCACTACAGTCAGGATCCGGGCAGAAAACAAACATTTCAGTTTTTCAGCAAAAATGGTCCAAATCTGAAAAGTTTTCCATATCCGCGGTCATCAAAAATACTGATTTTTGGCCAAAAAATCCAACTTCACGAAACTAAGTGAAATGTTCACACAAGGTGAGTAAATGCCAGCAATGAATCCCCAAGAAATTTCAGCTCACTACAGTCAGGATCCGGGCAGAAAACAAACATTTCAGTTTTTGAGCAAAAATGGTCCAAATCTGAAAAGTTTTCCATATCTGCGGTCATCAAAAATACTGATTTTTGGCCAGAAAATCCAACTTCACGAAACTAAGTCAAATGTTCACACAAGGTGAGTAGATGCCAGAAATGAATCCCCAAGAGATTTCAGCTCACTACAGTCAGGATCCAGGCAGAAAACAAACATTTCAGTTTTTGAGCAAAAATGGTCCAAATCTGAAAAGTTTTCCATATCCGCGGTCATCAAAAATACTGATTTTTGGCCAAAAAATCCAATTTCACGAAACTAAGTCAAATATTCACACAAGGTGAGTAGATGCCAGAAATGAATCCCCAAGAGATTTCAGCTCACTAC